CTAAACCACTAGAAAAACAATGAATGAGGACTTTAACCTAAAAAACTCTGTATATTATGACCGGTAACAGTCCTCAAATTCCATGAAAACACGATCATCATTCCACTACTTCCACTACCTACACTCATTTGTGTGAGTAATCGTCCCATATTGTGGGAATCGTCCCGACTCCTAATGTCATGGTATTTTAGTATAATGTCAAGAAAGTTGACATTCCAGCAAATATCACGGTTTCAACTAATTGGTCCGCAGACTTACTGCAATACGACACTTTAGTCTTACGTAAAAATTTTATGCGACGCCATAACTGTTTCGCGTTACTCTTTCAGGGATCATTGTGTTTTAAGGTTAATAATAAGCATATATAGATCACACAATTTACGTTTACTTGTGTTAAAATCAATAAAGGTGGTTAAAAACTATTAGCCTGATAAAACAAATGTTAAAAAATAAATTTCTTTTCATAGTTTACTAATTATAACTACATTAACGTACTCTTATTAACTTAACAAAAAGGGGTCCATCTACTAATAATATCAACAAACATACAGAAATATTTACTCTTCCCATGACCCTTAATGATGGTAAACAAGCTAATTATCTACCCTTTGGCTATCCAGTATTCATTCTCATGGTAGCAGTCGTCAGTATAACGTTCCCAAAGATGGGCTACACCGACTTTCATTACGCTTGGATCGAGTCCTCGAAATTAGGGACAAAGTGTGATTTCAGTGATTTTTGTTACATTGTCTTTATTAGTGCGAAATTGTCTAAAGGATGGTGAGTGGTTTGAATGGTAACTGCATGCTGTTTATTATGTATTGTAATCTCGTAAACTCAATAAGATTGTTTAGTACGATTTTCATATGTGACCGACAGGCGAGTTTCTTAGATTTTTATGTACCACCTCTTCTTCACGATTTTAACTAAGAAGCTAGTTCGAAAATTTATTATATTGTAGAATGTTATTAGATAAGATATAAAGTTGTAAAAAAAGTTCATCATGAATAACATTAGGATATTTAGGATGCTTAGCAATAAAACTACTCACGATGTTTTCCGTCCGCATAATTTAACACTTACTTGTAAATGAGAATCTATGAGCCTACCGTTGACCTAAAACATGACGAATTTTGGCAAGAAATGAGGTATTTAGGACAAGTAGTTGGGAAAATGCCAAAACATTGGATCTCAAATCAAATCAAATCAAATCAAATCATTTATTTGCACAAAACATGGTAGGTAACAAGATGTTGAATAAAATGTTTATGTACAGCATGTTTTGCCGTGGAACACAGCGCGCAAAAGTATTATTAAATGAAATACATTAATACGAATGAGTCATTTTACAATATAATCAAATTAGTATTAGATAAATAAAAATTTCATGAAAATGTCAGTTAATCAAAGTGAACGTCAAGTCAATTAGGTATACATTTAATTTAATTTAAAGAATAATATGAGATACAATTACATATTAAAATTATTTTCATTTAAAAATTCATGAATAGTATAATAACATTTCTTGGCCAGAATTATTTTCAATTTATTTTTAAATAATCTTACATTACAATTTCTAATATCATTAGGAATTTTATTATATATTTTTGGCGCCATACATAATACGCTTTTTCGTGCCAGAGTAGTTTTTGCACTATGCAGACACAGTCTATTACTATTAATTTTGCGCCTGTTTTTCTTTTACCACATCAGAAATTTTTCAAATAGATGAGGGTTTTTATGAACAAACAGTGCTGTCTCTAATATGTATAATGACGGAAGTGTTAAAATTTTATGTGCTATAAACGGTTTACAAGAGTCAGTCGAGTCCAGGTGAAACATGGCTCGTATGCAACGTTTTTGGGCCTTAAAAACCAGCGCATTATCTGTTGAGTTTCCCAGAAGATTATTCCATACCGTAAGACAGAGTCAACAAGGCCGTAGTAGGCCGTGAGTGAAGCATCGATGTTCACTACTGGGGCCAATCTGTACATAGCATATGCAGAACTGCTCACCTTTTTGCATAATTTTGCTATATGCGCCTTCCAATTCAACTGCCTATCGATAGTTAGGCCTAGGAATTGCGCTGATTCTACCTCGTGTATAGGGTTACTATCGTAATCTATATGAATATCATGAGGCTGAGGTCTCTGGCTAAAGTGCATAACTTGAGTTTTTAATAAGTTTACTTTAAGATTGTTATTATCTAGCCAGTTAATAATTGATTCCAAGCAATTGTTTATGTCGTCTTGATATAATTCTTTTGTCTTACACTGTACAGATACAGTACTATCATCTGCAAAAAGCGACATTGGGTGGGTGGTAAATTTAGGCAGATCATTTATATAAATGATAAATAAAAGCGGACCCAGTACGCTGCCCTGTGGCACACCAAAAGTAATGCTACGCGACTCAGACAAATAAGATTCTTGATTCTTAGTCATAATATTAATCTTAGATATAGTTGTCATCTGAGATCTATTAGAAAGATATGATTTTAGTAGATCCAGAATACTGCCTCGTATACCATAAGATTCTAATTTGTTTAATAGTATTTGATGGTCCACGTAATCAAAAGCCTGAGTCATATCGCAGTATATGGCACATATGGGAGTCCTTTTATCAACGTTTGTCAGCACTGTTTTGTAAAAATCATATATAGCCAAATTGATACTTTTGTTTTTTCTGAAACCTTTTTGCTCATGACATAGTAGTTTATTAGATTCTAAATAAGTGTATAATTGGTTATAAATATACTTTTCAAAAATTTTAGAAAATATTGATAATAGTGCAATAGGTCTATAGGCTTGTAATAGTTCTTTATCACCCTTTTTATACAGTGGTTTTACAATAGTTACTTTTAAATTATCAGGAAAAACACCATTACTAATGCATAAGTTTAAAAGATGACTTAAATGTCCACATATATGTCGGTTACAGATTTTAATAATTTTAGTTGAAATGTCATCAAAACCTACACTGTTAGTATTCTTCAGCTCGGAAATAATTTTGTGTATGTCTTTTGGTACACATGGAGCCATAAAAATAGAATTAATCGTGCTTGCAATCCGCGATGTTACTTTTTTGCCACGACCGGATATGGGTACTATTTTATCAACAAAGTAATTATTAAAGGCATTGGCCATAACGTTGGGATCAGAAATTGTATTATTGCTCACTTTAATTTTACTTATAATGTCAATTGGGATATTTAATCTTGAATCATTTATTATCTGCCACGTAGCTTTACATTTATTGTCAGAGGATTTAATTTTATAATTGTTTTGTGAACGTTTTGTAAGTCTAATAATTTTTTTAAGTAATTTAGAGTGTGTAATAAACATGTTTTTTGTTTTAATTGATGGTTTTAATCTATAATTCCATAATAGATGTCGCTTTCTTATACTGCATTTCTTTATTCCACGAGATATCCATCTTTGTTTTTTATCTACATGTACAGTGATAGTTTTGAATGGAAAACAAAGGTTGTAAAAAAGTTCGAAATGTTCGCTAAAGAAATTGTATGCCCTGTTGGGGTCAGTTTCTGCATATATCTCAGAGAATGAGTAATTATTAAGACATTTCATAAATTTTGATATATTTTCATCACAAAAATCACGAGTTCGTTTTCTCCATATCTTAATAACAGGTACCCGCCTAACAGGGATCATCATCAGCTGCGCCGTATGATCTGACAAAGCCAATTCTAGCACTTCCGTCTTACATTGTTTTTTGAAATTGTGAGCAAAATTATCGATACAAGTTTTACTTATCAATCTTGTCGGTTCTCTTACAGCTAAAGTCATATTGTACGTCAATAATAAGTTCTCAAAGTCACATGTTACACTGTTTTGTTTTAATAAGTCAATGTTAAAATCACCCGCGATTATACAATGTTTACAAGATTTTTATTTAATCGTTGTAATGTAGTGTCTATTTTACTGAAAAATGTATTTAAATTCTCTGGTTTGGGCACCCTGTAAACACATACAATAACTATATCATAACTTATAAGTTCTATTGAGCAACACTCGTACAGACCTGAAATTGACAGACTTTTTATTTCTGGTAACTCCTTCCACTGAGTCCCATTTTTTACGAGAATGCAGGCACCTCCACGTTTGCAGTGGCCCCTACCATAGATCGCTGCTAGTGTGTAGTTTGGAATTACTAAGTGGTTTTCGTAGCCGTCCATAATAAAGTGCTCAGTGATGCATATTATTTCTACTTGTATATTTTTCTCAGTAAGTTTATCTAAACATATGGTTAATGCATCAGATTTGTTCAAGAGACCAGCGATGTTTTGATGCAGAATATAAATGCTATTGCAGACGAAAAAAGTCCGAGGATTCATTGCTGTTGGTTGTTTGCTGGTAGGAGTCTGTGACTATGTGTTTTATGTTATCATTAGTTTGCCCAATGCAGTTTTTGTCCAATAAATTCAAATCAATTAATATGTTATCCATTACTCGATTATATATATTCCTTAGTCCACTTTTGTTAATTATTCCAGTTGTGTTGGAGAACATTTCAAGAGTCAGATCATAATTAGTGTCAAACAGATACGCGTAGTCATTGTTTTTTAGGTCAAGATAAAGTAATTTACCAAACGTCTCTCATCATCTCATCCAACTAAGTTAGACTTCCTTAAGTTGTGTCGTCCCTGAACTTAATTTATTTGTTCCATATATTTTTGTAAACAAAGTCCATGAATATGACATAAGTTATTACTATCTGCGTATGTAAATCGTAGCTGTCTTTATCTACCAGACATCCTTTACTCCATATAGGACTCCCCAAATCTCCAATCGACCGGTTGGACGCAACCTGTATTCAGCGGCTCCCTGTGACTTTTCTCAGGTCGCCCATCTGTCCACCTATAAATGTCGACTAAAAATGTTTAAAAGCTAATCCCTCGTTAGCGTCGGTCATCGTTGTCCGAGCCGGAGTCCCATGTATTAATCTACACAATCTAATCTATTGGTTTTTCTTGTCTGCAGGCTCTTGCGGCCGGTGTCTGTATCAGGCATGATGGAGCACGCCCTCGTGCACCGCGAGCGCGTCGGAGTGCAAGACTTCGTGCTGCTCGAAGACTTCCGATCTGAAGCCGCTTTCATTGACAACCTCAGGAAACGATTCAACGAGAACATTATCTATGTAAGTTTTTATAATTGAGTCACTATCTTTCATCCCATATTATAGATACAAATATACAACATCACCCCTTTCAACCCTTGTCGCGGAGAACCTAACGGGTAATCGGGGCTCCGGCTCGACGTGCAGGAGAAGGAACGGGGTGGTTTTTAGTCAGTAAGAGTCTGACACTCCCTTCCGCCTCACCCAGGCGGGTGCAGTAATTCGATGATTTCCCCCCTTAAAAAAAAAACCCCTTTCAACCCTTCAAAGGAGTACGAGAGGTGCACGCAATAAATGTATCATAATCACTTTTCGCAAGTTGTTATGAGTCCCATTGTACCCGCGAGCCTGAGAACCGGGCCCCGATTAAGAAGGAATAGTTAATGTAAAAAGGTTTATGATGAATTGACCAATAACAATGGTGTAATTGCCTCGACAGACGTACATCGGCAACGTGCTTATATCCGTGAACCCGTACAAGAACCTGCCAATCTACACGGAGGAGAAGACCAAGCTATATTACAAAAAGGCTTTCTTTGAGGCACCACCACACGTGTAAGTAATTTTCAAGTTTAAGTTTTATCATAGACCTAACGTCACGCCTTTTATCCCCGAATAGGCAGAAGTGCACCTTTCGGCACCTAATACAATGTACAATGTAACACCTACTTATCACTATTTGTGTTATGAGTCCCATGTAATGTGAGCCTATTGCTATATATCGGGCACAATTCCAGACTACGTGCTACTTCTGAGATTTTTTAAAAGCCCAGTAATACTTTGCTCGACCCGGGAATCGAACCCAAGACCCCTTGCCGAGCAGTCACCGATCGCCCTTGCGACCACTCGGCCAAAGACGCCGTTTAAGTTTTATAATAACATCCATTCCTAGTGAAGAAAACAACAATATCATAAACTAAATTAAGGGAGAGTTTACCGCAATCTCCACACTCATGTAGGTGATAGTTTAGTAAAAGAAGTTGCTGACTGTCCGAACCTTAGCGCCTGGTCGCAGTTTTAAAATATACTTAGGACCTATGCAAAACGAAATAAACATCAACGATTGATTCAGGTTATTTTGTATTGTTAACAACATTTTGAAACATAGGGGAAAATCATGGGAATCACTGGGTTTATCCCACATTCTATACAAAGAATTAGGTTTTGATAAAATCTCATTTAGTCTAGACTACATGAACACTGCCAAAAGATAATACATATTATTATGTGATAATATATCTTTTTGAAACGATAATATGAATTTATTAATCGACAAACGCACTGGGTTTAATAATGTAGGGTTTTATTGAATCACAGAATTTAGGTACGCTTACGAAGTCGTAAGAAAACAATTGGAAATTACACACACATAATAATTCGTAATAGGTAAATTAGTCACGACATTGAAGAAAGATTACGTAAACTTTTCCAAAAAATATGTGTTTTAAAGTTACATTGTTAGCGACGCGACAGAGAACTCTATTCAGCTAAAAAACTAAAAACAATCCACATTTTTGAAGAAATAGACATCTGACCTGAGTCCACTCGAGACTCATTATTAAAAACATCTAGGCAGTAAAAAGCGACTTAAAAAATGTAAATTATATCATTAGAAGGAAAACCATCAAAAAGAAAATAAATATAATAAGGCTAAAAACTATTTGCCTTCCATTCAATGGGCTGGATCCAATGACGTAAATAATGCAATTTATGTGAAGCCACTTGTGTCAGATATAAACGGATAAATCGATATTATCTGTGACAGTTGATGTGTGGGAATGTTGTGTGTACAATGAGAAAGTATAGTTATTTTTATCTCCAATTATTATCTGTATACAGAAAATCGTTGTGTAAAACTGCGTAGGTAGATGATAAAGTATGAATGTATTGTGAAGCGTTAGTATCATGGATTATGTGGAAGGTGATATGCCCACTTTCGATTTTTAACCTAGGGTGTCTTTATTGTAACCGACACTACGTGTGGGTTTTATAATGGATACTAAATGAATCGTCTGTTTCTATCTTAGCTTCTTAACTAAGGTACCCGTGAAGCATTTAGATGTAAGCCCAACAGTCAAACTTACAGCTACTAATTTAACTTTAATATAATTAAAAGTAATTGTTGCACTGGGATCGTTAGAAACACAAATCAACAGTTGCAATAAACGCTTTGACTTTGACTTTGACATTATATTAATATCATCTAATAAGGAATACGTGAACGATAAAGTTATAACAATATAATAATACTTAGTGACAAAATATTATTGTCATAAACACTTACATAGATACTATTTATTATTGGACTGATAACGACAACTTATCTGTTCGATAACTGTACCTAATGGTTATTGGATGTTGAAATACACTCGATCCACGTACTTGTAGAAATAAGGGACTTAGGAAGAAGAGGTAAATAACACTATTCTTACGGAAAATTCTGAGTAAAATATAAAGAGACTAATACAAATGTCGATTAAAAGACGTTTTACGACCAACTCGATTTCAGAGAAGGCTATTAAGTTCCTTTTAAATAATCCCAGCAGTCTTACGTAACTTAGGTACCAGTGAGTTAATTAATTCATCATTTACTAATTATTATATTGTTTATTCCATAGATTCGCAATTGCAGACAACGCCTACAGGTCTTTGGTATATGAACACAGAGAACAGTGCATTTTGATCTCAGGTAATACTTATTTTTTCACCTAACCGTTTTATCTTGGATATAATTTCTTATATTACAACTGAACAATCAAATAACATGGCTCACTACACTTACATATTTATCGTTTACTTACCTACTTGGTGTTTATCATCAATTTTAATCGTTTACCGCTAAAAACGATGACGAACATATACCAGAATGTATGATAACCTTAATTTATTTTCCTGTACAGGTGAATCTGGTTCAGGCAAAACAGAGGCGTCCAAAAAAGTCTTAGAGTACATAGCAGCAAGAACAAATCACCTTCGCAACGTAGAAACTGTTAAGGACAAACTTCTCCAAACGAACCCCCTACTAGAAGCCTTCGGTAACGCGAAAACACACAGAAATGACAACTCCAGTCGTTTCGGAAAGTACATGGACGTCCAGTTCAACTATGAAGGAGCCCCCGAAGGTGGACACATCCTTAACTATCTTCTTGAGAAATCCAGGGTAGTCAGCCAAATGTCTGGAGAGAGGAACTTCCACATCTTCTATCAACTATTGGCTGGAGCCGACCAGGATTTGTTAAGACAATTGAAACTGCAAGGAAGGCCGGAAGCTTACAAATACACTACTGATGCGGTGAGTGTTTTATTAATATATCTTAAACAGTCTACAACTGAATTATAAAACACGTTATACAAAACAGAGGTGGTCCCAATGTACTGCCTTGTGGCATTCTCAATAATTTGTTTTTGTTTTTCTAGGGTGCCCAAGGAAACCAACGTAACCAAGACGCCGAACAGTTCCGTACAGTGCAAGCGGCCATGAAAGTCATTGAAATTAACCAGGCTGAACAAAATGAGATTTTCGAGATCGTCGCCAGTGTCTTACATCTAGGAAATGCTAAGTTCGTACAAAATGACAAAGGATATGCTGAGATTCTGTCACATGATGCCAACTCCAACAACGTCGCTGAGGTAAGAATAATTTAGAAATATTTTATACACATTTATGACCTACCTAAAAGACAACCGTGAAACCACAATGAGATTTTCACTTATTATGACATGGTACCTTGTTTTATGGTTTTAATTATTATAACTTCCATTTTTAAAAGGTTTCACGACCGAATTGTGAGCAAAATAAGAGAGGTTATAATTATAAATGTGAACACTGTTTACCTTGTTCGGGCAAATAAATGATTTTTGATTTTGAGATTGACAATTATTTATAAAAAAAATAAAATAATAACAATATTGTAATTCAACTTTTTCAATTAAGTTTTATTTAGTTCCGTTTTACTTAAAAAAATGAGGTTAGACCTCATTGGTATCGGCTCATCATACCTTAGGAAATCGAAATTTGTGATTTCATATCCCGTACAATTTTAATAGAAAAAAAATCCAAATTTCCTAAAAAATACAGTAGTGTAAGAAACAATCGTGTTTATAATATGGGCACCAGTAAAATTGGAGCCCTAACCATGGCTATTGTTCTGGTTTGTTTGTTTTGAACTAGTATTTGACTACCATTGTCTAGCCATTACAGAATCACGTCACTCAAATTACACGCGTACGGTTTTTAAGTTATTTACGCTGATATAACAGTTACTCGGGTTTTGGCGTAAAACATATTGTCTTTGGTAACTTTTTGTGTCAATCTATCATACCAGTTAATTTCACCATTTGCCTGTGTATTATTTCGCTTCTTTGATAGCTTCTTATTTTTCTTATTCATATCCTTATCCCACTTCAGTTAAAAGTCGCCCCATTACATATTTTCCCTCACCCTTTCAGATATTATTCCATCAAGGACTCTTTTTTCTTTCATACCTATCATGCCTCTCACTTTATCTAGTCCGCTTTTCTTTTGTATTACTTCACCTTTCCATCCTTTCACATTTGTATTCAACAATTGCCCTATATTCATTAAAAAGAATCAAAACTATTGTTATACTAAGTTGAAAAGTATCCATTGTGTTTGAAAGACTTGTAAAATATGTTTACGTTATGCAAGTAAACTAATAACACTTTGATCATTGAAATACAGCTTCAATGCCTTCGATAGCTAATTGAAACCTATCCGTTTTGCTTGTCGCGGAGAACCTGACGGGTTACCGGGGCTCCGGGTCGAAGTGCAGGAGAAGGAACGGGGTGGTTTTTAGTCATTAAAAGTCTGACACTCCCTCCCGCCTCGCCTAGGCGGGAGCAGTCATTCGATGATTTTTCCCTTTAAAAAAATCCGTTTTGCTTTCTACAACAAAGCTGGCTAAAAAATATTATTATTACAAAGTTCATATAAATATACCGACCTAGTTAACTTTATACACACAGTTAATCGTGATCTCGCTATGTATAAATCTTACCGCACATTCAGTTTGACTGCCACGTTGGCCGAGTGGTCGAAAGTACGACTGCCGAGCAAGAGGTATCGGGTTCAATTCCCGAGTTGGACAAAATACTACTGGGTTTTTAAAAAATTCTCAGTAGTACAGTGCACGGAGTCTGAAAATGTGCCCGGTATATGGCAAAAGGTTTACCCCCTATTACATGGGACTCATAACATAAATAGTGAAAAGTGGGTAATACATTGTACCTACAGTGACATTAAGTGCCGTAATGTGCGTCTCTGCCTACCCCTACGAGGATAATGAGCGATGTTATATTATATTTACATTCAACAGTCAGTTTATACTGGTTTCGCATAGCTTGTTGTGTAGCCATGTTTACATCTAGATAACAACAATTCCATGATTTATTAGATAGGTCAACGGTTTCTAACCGTTGGCGATCACAATCTTTCAACGGAAGAATGACGTAGCACTAAAGTTCTTATGAAGACGTTTATTTCACGAGATAATGTTCGTGATAACCCAGCTTTTGAGGAATTGCTTTTGTTCTTAGTATTTTTAGTACTAAATGTAGACTAGAAACAGGAATGTAAGACCTAGATTTTAATGTAGACTTTTAAACTTGACTAGTTTTTTTGAGATTCTAAAGACTAGAGGTATTTTGTTGAAATTTTCATTACTTTTTTACATTTTAATAACTGTTTGAAGTTAAAATTTTTCTGTGAAGTCTTTTTTTAACTGTAAAACCCCAGTGATATTGTAACAAAGATTACGATTACGATTACGACTTTAGTTTTGTGCTACATCGCTGTTTTACGTATTGTGTCAAATACGACCTAAAATTAATTTGAAATATCGTGTGACGTCACAGCGTACAACATTTTGTAGCACGTTATGACGTAACGACCTCCCACTCCTAAATTTAGCGCCATTTTATCTAAGAATTGCAACTTTATACAAAAAATAAACAAAACCTATATAACTGACGGACTAATTAGATTTATAATTTTGATACCCTGGAAACTACCCAATTATTTATAAGATGTTTTAAATTATTATCTGAACTTAAACAACAAACTGTGTAGATACTTATTTATACACATACATAACTTTACGCCTGTCAAGGGGATAGGCAGTGACTATGGAACGCCAATTGCTACGATTCCTTCATACCTCTTCCGCTTATCAACAGTCATCAGTCTTTTCATGCATGTTCGTCTGTTAAGATAGATACTTGTTTAACCTTTCTAATCATAGATCTCATAACAAATCCATCTTTGTCAAGACTTTTATTCCTATTCAACATCTATTGTTTGGATCGCCAAGAAAAAATAAGATAAAAAAAGTTTTATATCAATATTGTTATTTAATTTAGTAGCTATGCAACACATAATTTTATAGAGGTCACAATGTACAAACGGGTCTCTTATCAAACGAACTATATAGTATTGTAGGGCATTTTGTAATATCCCTTCATATATTTTGAATGGCAAACACGATTTATATTTTATGACAATATTTTATTGTTGTGTCCATTCGTTTAGTTTAAGATAACAAAGTAACGGTATATTGTTAAAGTAAAACAAAAACGACGTTTTGTTGTTATAATTAAAATCTTAAGAAATCAACTAAGTAGTTATCCATCTACTTTGATATGACTCAAATTCATCCGCGTGTCCATGGCCAGCGCTGATCGCTTGCCGTCAGGTGACCCATTCTTCGTTGTGATTCCCCTATTTCTTAATTCAAGTAAAAAGTATCTACTAAGCGAATAATGCTTTCTTCCCCAGCTTCTTAAAGTAGACAGCACAAAATTAAGAGAGGTACTCACCAGCCGTACGATCAGCGCTCGTGGAGATGTTGTCTGTACTCCCTTGGACCTGGAACAGGCGCAATACGCCAGGGACGCCCTTGCCAAGGCCATCTACGACAAGCACTTCAGCTGGCTGGTCTCCAGGTTGAACGCTTCCCTCGCACCTAAGGACAAGGACAGCCAATCGTCTGTCATTGGTATTCTGGACATTTACGGATTCGAAATCTTCCCTAAGAACAGGTGAGTTTAAATAGATTACACTTAAATCGATCATGTTTTAGGATATATTTATGTATTTATTGAAACTAAACGAGATAACCCGTCAATTAAATCAATCAATTTATCGGAAATTCCAAACAGAATAATGAAAATTCATAAAGATGTTTTGAACCATTTGCTCTGTAATACGTTAGTACGATTACCTCTATATCCTCATTGACAAAAAACTAAGATAAAGCAAACACACTATTTGCAGTACGAGACTAAATACTTGACGAATCATTGACTACATGTACCTTTTTCTCCTACAGCTTCGAACAGTTCTGCATCAACTTCTGTAACGAGAAGCTGCAGCAGCTGTTCATCCAGCTGACGCTGAAGCAAGAGCAGGAGGAGTATCTACGCGAGGGCATCGAGTGGGAGCCCGTCGAGTACTTCAACAACATCGTCATCTGCGACCTCATTGAGGCCAGGCACACTGGTACGTGAACCTTACGGGTATACGACGTACGTGACCGAAGTGGTCGTCCTTAGCTGTCTATCTATTACTATAACACAAGGAGTATCACTAATGTCTTTATTTAAGTAACAGTTAATATTAATGAAATAAAAAAAACATAGAACACATTTACAATTACAGATCGCTCCGATTTTATAGTAGTAAAAAGTCTAAATAATAACACTCGTAATAGTTTACTTAATCTAGTCTTATACCATATATATGTAAGAAAATAACCAAAAAGTTAAGACCAAATAAAAAAAATATAACCTTTAGGTCGATTTAAACTGTCAAACACCAAGCGGTCACCGGTGACCGCGACCTATTGTTCTTTAATTGTGTCTATAAAACCGGTACTCGACGAGTTAACTCGTAAAGTAAATAACTGAACTCTTAGAACGGATGGACTATCTATGAAGTTAGATAAGACTCATTTAGTAGTATAAAGTCGAGTCCTGTGGTACAAGTACTACCTATTTTGGATACAGAAAGAAGTAACGAAAATATTATTAATAGCTAGTCTAAACAAATTCCTAATGATTATTTCCAGGTATCATCGCGATCCTGGACGACGAGTGCCTAAGGCCGGGAGACGCTACGGACCTGAGCTTGCTGGAGAAGCTGACGCAGAACCTGGAGCCCCACCCTCACTACAAGTCACATCGCCGCTCTGACATCAAGACACAGAAGATCATGGGACGTGATGTGAGTAGCTACTTCCTATAATCCTCATTTTAATAGCCTATGAAAATGTCCTAAAGATTGAGAAATTTAAGAGGACTGTTCATTTTCTTAAAGCGGATCCATAAGACATAGATACTATACTCATGTGGAAGAGCCATGCTTCAGCACAAATGACCCGGTTTGACTGTAGTTGGGTGTTTCTTCGAAAAAACTTAATTTTTATTTAACAAATCATTATTCTCCCGCGTTGTTAAGCACTATAGTAACTTAATTTGTATTTTATTGGATTAGTTACGACACAGCTCAATTTATTTATTTAGCATTATGAACTTTGGGTTGAGGATAACACCGTTAATTTTTTTGAAGAATCTCCAAGTTATACCATCGCCTCACAGAAAAACGGCGTGGATGTGAGTGAAGGTAATAAAAGCCCAATTATCGCCTTCAACGAAAACAGTTGTTTTTTTTATAAATAAAATCGCGGGTTACTCACGTGGATATACTGAGAAAAGCTCTACTAGATTCGAACCACTGAGGAGTTCTTCCTCATTAGCAGCGCGTGCGGTCGCGCAAAACAGTTTTGTTTGGATTGGAATTGATAGGTTATTCTTTACCTACTTGATCCTTCCTCAAAAGACTTCAAGGATGTTAACAATTTAAATTACAAATAAAGTATTTTGCCAAGAAGGAAAATGGCGACACCTTTATCATTCGTCCTTAACTCCTTGAGTTGTCATTACAACAAGGCTCCGACCTACTTGCTAAATACACAGTTAAGTACATACATTTATATTCTAAATAGCAATTGTATGCGATGGGAATGATGACAGACTTGTACTAGTGTTTACGAAATTCCTTGAGAATTAAACTATAATAAAATGTCTTGAAACGTAAATTGAACACGTTATGCCAGAATAAAATATGAATTAATACACGCATTAACATCACGACTTTATTTTTAAAGGGTAAACTAGATGTGGACGTACCTACCTGGTACTATAGGTATAGATATAAGTTGGCATAATGGCCGGGCTGCTTGAAGTTTTGGACTTGAACAGAAAAACTAGGTATCCTTTATCAAATTAAGTTTGGGAGAGCCATGCTTCGGCAAGGATGGTCCGGCTCGACCGGAGTGATACCACGACCTCACAGAAGACCGACGTGAAACAACGCTTGCGTTGCGTTTCGTCGTGTGAGCGAGGTTACCGATTCCCAATTATCCCCCCCCCCCCCCTTCCCAATCTCTGAATCCCCAACAATACTCAAATTCCTAATCCGAAAAGGCCAGTAACGCTCTTGTAACGCCTTGGCGTTTCAGGTGTCCATGGGCGACGCCGATTGTTTACCATCAGGTGATCCGTCTCCTAGTTTACCAGTCTAACCCATAAAAAAACACCAATTTGAGTCAAGCAAAGTATTTGTAACAAACTTCATGCATATAAAATTAGTATTTAGTGCCTATAACACATTAAACTGTCAAACACCGCGAGGACACCGGTGACCGCAACCATTTGTTCTTTTATTGTGTCTATAATGACGGTACTCAGACGGTTAAACGCCATGATGGGAGTCACCAGTGACCAACGTTAGCGGGGCAGTTGCGTTCAAAAGTTTTCTATTGGCAGTCATCACCTTAATATTCTCTAACCTTTGAGTGAAGCAGAGAAGAATCAAATATTACAATAATGTTTATCTCTAAATTTGTATCTATTTCGACAATGACTAATAAATAATAGTACTGAAAACTAAATACATTAAGTTTAAATTGAGGCCGATAAATAATTACTCAAAAACTAAATCAATGGATCACATGATGTAATATTTGAATGGCTCGCCAATACATTCACATAAGTTGATAGTACCAGTAGATCAGTATGGAAAACAATGGTTTCATTGTAATTCTTTCACATTATTGTAATTAGATTGAATTCTGTCCGTAGGTGCCGACCGATCGGCTAGTCATAACCAAGTTGCGTTTGAGGTGATACGTAATTAGTGTTAGAGGGTTTAGTACATTCTAATTCGGTTGAAAGGTTAGTGGATCACTAGGCTCTGTAGTTCCGGAGTATAAGTGTTTTTTCAAGTTCAAATAGAAAGAAGTTGCTACTTATGTCCAAATATCCAAACGTCGCTCTTTTAAGTCGCGTTTAAACTGTCAAACACCGCGAGGACACCGGTGACCGCAACCTATTGTTCTTTAATTGTGTCTATAAAACCGGTACTCGACGAGTTAAATAGTACCTAATACTGTTAAATAGACACACCACAGGGTGTGCTACTACTATCTTCTACCTATGGATAGTTTCTTATTCGTTCTTCTACATAAAGATTCTACAGCTTGGAATGAGCAAATAGCTTCACTTTTAATTGTTTGTTGACCTTCAAAACTGCCTTTCTGATCTAATTGAAATAAATGAATTTGACTTTTCTACTACTACTACCTACAGAGGTTATTACTTATGTTATATTTAATACAGAATGTGCTTATTAAAACTGCCAGGCAATCTACCAACATAACTTAGACAATACCCTATGTGTAAATGTGTAGTTATAACAATAGTTAATATGAAAATGTTGTCCCCATGTGTAGGAGTTCTGCCTAGTGCACTACGCGGGCGAGGTGACGTACAACGTGAGCACGTTCCTGGAGAAGAACAACGACCTGTTGTTCCGCGACATACAGAGCCTCATGGCCACCAGCGGGAACACTATCGTCGCTAGCTGCTTCAAGGTACGTGACATTGAGGAAGAGACTGTTTCAAATTATATCACCAAAAACTTTTGAAGGAATTTTGAACCACCGCCAATAAAACGATTTGCATTTTTTCGTCTTAACCAGACATTTGGGGATGTGATGAATATTTATAGCGAGATAAACGAAATCGAACTGACTCTTCAAAATGGACAACCAAATGCACCGATATAACTTAACTGCTCAATCATTAAGCGGTCACGGATGACCGCTCCCCACTGACTCCATCGTAGACCTTATTTCCGATGTGACTGCCTCGTTGGTCGAGTGGTCGCATGTGCGACTGCTGGGCAAAGGGTCTCGGGTTCGATTCCCGGGGCGGGCCAAGCATTACTGGGTTTTAAAAATTCTCAATAGTAATAGGCTCACCCTCTATTACATGGGACTCATAACATAAATAGTGTAAAGTGGGTGTTACATTGTACAGTGGTATAATGTGTACTTCTGCCTACCCCTTCGGGGATAAAAGGCATGAAGTTATGTTATTTCTGACGACGTTTAGAGACTACTTTTGTATAAAGAAATTTTGGGGATATTCGGTACGATATATCAACGTATTAATTGAATAATTCTTCTGAGCCACTAACATTTTTGAAAAAATCAGTTAGATTTAAACTTTATTCAAACTTAACGAATTCCCCTCCAGGACATTAACCTAGCGAGCAAGAAGCGACCAGAGACAGCGATCACTCAGTTCAAGAACTCATTGAACGAGCTGATCAAGATCCTGAGCAGCAAGGAGCCTTCCTACATCCGATGCATCAAGCCCAATGACTTCAAGGCGCCTAGTGAGTACACAATATAATATTTCATTACCGCTCGAATTCTCAACTTTACAACTTTTTTATGGCATAAGCCTGTAATCGAGCAGACGGATCACCTGATGGTAAGCAATCGGCGTCGCCCATGGACACCTGGAACACCAGAGGCGTTACAAGTGCTTTACCGGATTTTTGGGGATTAGGAGTTTAAGGATCGTTGGGGATTCAGGGATTGGGGAAAGGGAGGGTAATTGGGCCTCCGGTAACCTCACTCACACGACGAAACACAACGCAAGCGTTGCTTCACGTCGGTTTTCTGTGAGACCGTGGTATCAATCAGGTCGAGCCGGCGCATTCGTGCCGAAGCATGGCTCTCCCACACTTAAATATCGCGCTATCTCTGTCAGTTTACAAACAATCTGAAGTGACAGAACTATACACAAGCGCGTTTTAAAATTATGTGGCGTTTGAGTTTTTGGACATAAGAACGATAGAGAAATATTTAAGTCCAATGTTTCGTGTCATGGCTGAGTCACAAAACAAATCAAATCAAATCATTTATTTGCATAAAATGTAGGTGTTTACAAATAGGTTGTTACAGATATAATATAGTAGCCGTATACATTTTGCCCGTTTATTGGCATGCAAAATATGGTGAAAAAGCTGTCAGATTTAATATAATAGCAAGCAATAATTAAGGTTTACAAATTCAATACAAACAATAATAACAATGTCAAGAAATACATAATGTTAAAATAATGTCAAGAAATACGTAATGTTAAAATTTATCAATTAGAAAGTCTGTTGTTGAATAATAACATTTGTCAATGAGAATTTTCCGTACAGTCGTTTTAAATTGATTTAAATTGAGTGATTTTACATTGTCTGGTAGCTTATTATATAACAGTTGTGCCATGCAAAGAAAACTTTTATTCATGAGGGCTGTTTTGCCATAACGAACCTCGAGTTTTAATCTGTTTTTATCCCGTAATTTCCTATAGTCACTTTTGAAAGCAACTGTGTATAAATCTTTGTTGGTTCTAACGTAAGTTAATGTTTCATATATATATAGAGTGATGGAAGTGTCATTAGTTTGAGGCTCTTAAAATACGGTTTACAGCTTGTTGTGCAATCTATACTACATATTGCTCGAATACACTGTTTCTGGGTGAATTTCAACAAATGCCATTTTTCTTATCATATCGGTGAACTTTTTCATTTATATATATTTTTTATTTTTTTCATGTTTAATGTAATATTTAGGGTACTAAATACTCCCTTATTGGTAACCATCAACGTATCTTTTAAGACTATGGAGAAAATTCAGTTTGAATTCTGGTTTCCACCGATGTGACAATCCGGCACCGATTATCTTTTCTGTACACCGATATGATAAATTTATTCACCGATGTGATATACATATACAGCGATATGATAATCTATCCACCTTTGAACATCAAAAAAGAAATAGTAGGCTTATACATTTTTGAAGGAGTGACTAAGAACTGAATACCGTATTATATATATATAATAAGGGTATTATTTTCTTAGAATAAAAAATAATGTTTTTTTTTATTATCATTGTGTTTATTTAAAAGTAGTATAAAAACAATAATTTCTTGTACGTTATTGTACAATACACATTTATTAATGTGGCGATCAAGCTAATTGTTTTGCCATGTGTACACTTAAAACATTGTGGCGTTCTAGGTTCAACAATACTAAGAATAGAAACTTTATATAAGAAAACTTTATATACCTAATTAATCAGCCTTTTAAGTTTAACCTTAATCATAACAACACTACAATAATCACAGCTTTAATTATCACTTAATTTAATATTTTTAAAATCTTTGTTCTCAGTGCGTAAGTATCATAGATTACATAGAGATCGCTTATATCTTACATCTAGCAAATAATCTTTACCCTTAAAAAAAAAACTTAAATTAAATCTGTCAGTATAATTTGGTTATTATGTTAATCAGCCTTAAGTTCAACATAAATCACTACAGAACTTGAACCGTCTTCGTACTCCACTTTTATTAAATTGCACCATAATTAGACTTTTAAGTCATAGAAGACTATGTAGTATACCTATAGTTAATCACAGCACTTAATTACGTACTTTTATAATTATTATCTGTTATAACAATTAAACCTTTTTTTTTCAATTAAAACTAAAAACAATAAAAATAAAAATTTTAAAAACAAATCAGCCCAGATCAAAATAAGTCATCATCAGTGTCACTGCAACCAAATATATAATTAAATCTCTGTTTGATGTCAGGAGTTGGTTTACGTGGCTCATTTTTTTCTTTTTTAAAGTTAATTTTAGATTTTATTCTAAATATTTCCTCATCGGTGTCACTGTCTTCCACGGTAGGACTTGAAAATCTATTAGATGCTTTTACCGTATCCTCTTTATTTACGAATTGAGTTGATTCCTCTAAACCAACTAAAATGTTCGTGTCAATTTTCTCTAAAAATGAACAGGCAGGAGTACTTTGATCAAGATCTACATAGTTCAATAGCAAATTTTCAGATATTTTTGTCGAAGAGGATGATCTGGGTGCCGCATTTTCCGAGATTTTTAATGTATTTGATGGTGTAAAATACTTTGAATGTGATGGCTGTGGGAACAAAATTAATTTGTCAGTTAACTTTACTGGTCGCATTTTAGTGATATCTATTTTGGATTTAGTTCTGGATTTTTTATTACTCGAAGTAGAAAGTTGAGGTTTAGACTTAATTTCGTGTTCGGTTGACAAATTGTGGAAGTCTAGATGTTTGCCATGTGGACATTTAACAACATATTTCATACATTCATCTTCTATACAAGAAAGTCGACGTAAAACTATACGATTTTTAGCTTCTTTAGTCCAAATGACTTGTTTGACTTGCAATGTTCCACGAAATGTGTTCAAATTTGTAGGGAGAAGCCAGTCCTTTTCTTCAACTTCATATTCTTCTACAGTACTAATTTTCACGCCTTGGACAGCAGATTTTAAATAGTTTACAAAAGAGTCTATATTATTCATATCACCATCGTGTGCAACAAATCGATCCGCCGTTCGCTTCAGTAGCCCACCTACTCCATCTGGCGCACCTTTTCCATGACCACATTCACTATAGTTCCATATTATGTTAGTCAGAGAAGAGCAGTAAATACTGAGTTGGGACATAATATAAAAAATTTTCTTATTCCGATACTGGCCTGATGGAGAATCAGAAATAATAATAAGATTCTGAACAATTGGAGCTTCCTGTTTAATTTCTTCTAATATTGGAACAAGGTGAGCCCAAACGGCGGCAGCATCATGGCGCAGTGAAGAACTAATAGTGCAGAAACATTGAGTTGTTATATTCTCTTCCTTATTTTTATAGTAAATTACAGCAGTGTGTAATGTGAATTGTTGACGACTGCCACCAAAGTGCATAGATTGTATTTCGGACCCGTACTTGGAGCTATAGTTCTCACTAAAGTCAATGTGAACGACACAATCCTTTTCAGTCATGTTTTGTTTGTAGTGCTTAAAAGCTTGACTTTGATTTCGTATATTACTACAATGTGTTAAGAACGGTTTCAGATTGTTTTCAAATATTTTGATTAGTTGTAATGGTTTAACGGTTATTTTTACTTTTTCTACATTAACGGCTATTTTATCGACTCCATTTTTTTTGTAATTCTTTTTTATCTTCTTCCAATTCCAATAAATAACATCTTTGGAGTTATCAAATTCTTGATAATTTAAATGACGATTCTTACAGACAGGACATGTTCTTTGCAGGCATTCTACCTTAAAAATATCACAGCAAATACTACTTAGAATTTCAGTCGTGGTGTTTTCTTTTATGATACGATTTCTTTTTAAAGATGATATAACAAGATCCATGTTCTCATGTTTCTCACATAGGCATGTATTTCTCAAGTTTAATTTTGGCTGCGTGACCCAAAACGGCCTCATTCTTGTAAAAGTGACGTAACTGATTGGAGGGTAGCCCGAAGTCAAATACTTTTTGTGTAAATTTTTAATTGTGTCTTTCATCAGCCTTTTCTGTTTTTTTACTCCATTTTGTGTGACAGTATCCTTTTTACCTGGGCAAAGATTTGAATTTTCATCATCCTCAAAAAACTGAACAACAATCTTACGGATACGTTTTTGCAGGTCTATATTTTTTGGCTTCGTTGGGATTCGTCTCACTTCTAAATTACTCTGTTTTAATTTCTTAAATTCTTGATGTAGTCTCATGTATCTCTTTTTGTACATTAGTTTCTCTTTATTAGCCTTTGCCAATTGTTTTCTTAAATCGTGTATTTGCTGAGTTTTAACGTTTTGATATTTACGAAATTTCATTTTAATGTCTTGTTTGAATTTAACAGTATTAAAGGATGTGTCTAAGTTAGGACTATTTGGGCGTAATGTTGATTCTTCTGAATTTATAGAACTAATACTGGGCGTTCGTAAAGGAGATGCTATTGATAAATCTAGGGGACTGCTTGTACGTAAATAGTGGGAACTACTCGCTACTATGGCATCAATACGCAAATTAGGACTATTACATCGAACATTCTGTCGCAATAGCCGTGGGCTATGAGGTCCTATTAGTTCTTGAGAAATACCGGGCTCATTATCTTGATTTTTCGGTAGCGATTCTGCGTCATTGGTCTCTGAAACACTTGTTGGGTTGTTGCGGGCACCATTTGCCTTATTTTTTTTCCGCTGATAATATGCACGGGCACTGATTCGGTTTTTCTTTTGTGCATTGCGACGTGCATGTGCAGTCATTTGGCTTCGGGTTAGGATAAGTCCAGCTGCCTTTCTTTTAGCTAAGCGTTCTCTGTCTTTTCTTAAATGCTGCTCTCTTAACACAGGATCACTTTTGATTTTAGCTTTTCTTATTCTTTCCATCAACCTCTTTCTTTCTTTTTTCTCCTCCTCGTTTAGTTTTGATTTCAGCATTCTTAAACAAAATTAATCTTAAACAAAATTACTCGAACGAATTGTGTGCGGCACGAGCTGCACACAAGTTAATATTTATGAAAGTTAAAAAATATAATATGTGTATATGTATGTATAATGTATGGTTGTAGGTATGCTCCATTGTTTTTTTGTTTACTTTAATGAAATGACACTATGTCTACCAATATGATAAAATTACACCGAGGTGATAATATGATCTACCGATGTGATAAAACAATCCACCGATGTGACAAAACTATGCGTCGATCATGAATCAAAACACCGATATGATATTTAAGACACCGATTGATTTTTCTTATCACATCGGTGTAAATTATCACATCGGTGGTAAAAAAGACCACCGATTACAGCGATATGAGAACAGCGACGTGAGAAATTATCGACTTTTTTGAAAATTATGAAAAATGTATAATATTTAGGCTAAATTCAAGTACCTATAATGATGCTAATTTACTTACTATGTCTGTTAGAACCAAACAATCGTAATAAAACTTCACATTACACTAGAAAAATGCAACCACCGATAATATAAAATAATTGCTTGGAAGTAACTGAAATGTCGTACTTACGTAATTGGCGGGAATATGCAGCGATTTGACACACGTCCGTCCTGACTGCGCACTAGCACACACTAACGAGGGAAATAAAATTGGGGTGGGGACACTGTCGGACTCATCGATGCAAAGTTAGGTTTAAATTACTTTTGTGCAGCGATATGACAAAATTTTGCGAGACAAGTACATTTATGCCTCTCAGTAATAAATATTATGAATTACGTAATAAAATATGCTACATATTAATAATAAAACTAATATTCTATGAAATAGAATAAGTTATATTCTTAAGTTACTTATTTTTATAACGATATAAGCGTTTTGCTTGTAAAAAAAGTAGAGGGACAGCACCGATGTGACAAAAATAGAGGTTTATGTATTTATTTCTACCTTTGTAAATAGACTTAGACAAATAATATTTTATGCCACAACCCAATAAATACCTAATGAATACAAAAAAAAATAGTACAGAACAATATTCCTTTTTTCAAATACTAATTTCAATGAAGACAAAAAAAAAAGTCGTTTGGGAAATTCACCCTTCTGTGCTCTAAACACAGTATCTTTATTAACAGAGTTACCCCAGTATATTATTGCGTATCTCAATTTTGAAACGACGTATCCATGATAAGCATTCAATACGGCTTCACGATTGACTACTTTTGTTAATTTGCTCAGAGCATAGGCAGAGGTATTTATTTTGCTGCAAATTTCGTCGCAATGGGTCTTCCACGAAAAATTGTGGTCAATATTCAAACCTAAAAATTTGGTAGAATCAGTTGAGGTAATTGGTTCACCTTGGTAATTAACGTCGATGTCTTTAATTTGTGCTCTTTGTCGAAACCAATACGTTATACATTTCAAATAATAATAAAAAGAAAAAACAAACAAAAAAGTCCTTAACCTGTCGTGTGTCTAAACAAGGACCACGCGAGACAATGCATTTCCTATTGTGTCTGATATACAGACATTCGGACAGCGGTTAAAATGACAAATTGTAAACATGGTAGAAAAATGTGATCCACAATTTTGTTGCTTCGAGTCCCTAACAATAATTTGTATTGCAGTGCAATTTGACGACAAGCTAGTGTCTCACCAAGTCAAGTACCTCGGTCTGATGGAGAACTTGCGCGTGCGCAGAGCTGGGTTCGCGTACAGGAGGACTTACGAGGCCTTCCTGGAGAGGTAAGAATAATTGTTCTTTAAAATCAAATATTCGCCAATTATCCAATCTGTTAGTGAATGGTTTTGATAAAAGATAGACTTTATTACGAGGGTTTCTATCAACATGCAGAATAAAGGCATTTTTCTTTCTTTCTTCTGTCTACATATGACCCATTTCATATCTAAACACGCACAGACAGATACACCACATCAGGCTCTAATTTTTTTTATGGCATAAGCCGGTATACGAGCCGACGGATCACCTGATGGTAAGCAATCGGCGTCGCATGGACACCTGGAACACCAGAGGCGTTACAAGTGCGTTACCGGTCTTTTGGGGATTAGGAGTTTGAGGATCGTTGGAGACTCAGGAATTGGGGAGATTGGGGAAGGGGAGGGTAATTGGGCTCCGATAACCTCACTCACACGACGAAACTACTCAAGTCTTTGCAGAAGTAGGGCAGTTTGAGACGTTTGTACTCTCAAACATATTAACTATCAGACTATCACCTTCATTTTATATTACAGGTACAAGTGCCTGTCCCGCGACACATGGCCCAACTTCCGCGGCGCCCCGCGAGATGGCGTGCAGAAACTGGTTGAAGTACTCAACTTCGAGAAAGAAGACTACAGGATGGGCAAGTGAGTACACCACTATAACGTTTATACAGACAAATAAAATTGGAGTGTCGGTTTGTAATATTGAAATAACCACTTTTTACTACATGCATATAAATATACATACGATACATATACCAAAATAATACTTTTTACAATTTTTGTCTGTCCGTCTGTCTGTCTGTTTATACTAGCTAATCTCTGAAATGGCTGGACCTATTTTGACGGGACTTTTATTGGCATGTAGCTAATGTACTAAGGAGTAACATAGGCTACTTTTATTATAGAAAAACACAAACGAAGTTTGTTTCAGCAAAGTTTTTATATTATTAAGTCTTCGATTAAAAAACCCATAAGGTAAAATAGACACACTTTACTCTAAAGTGAAAATTATAAGGGCCGAAATAAGAGTTTGGAAAAGAGCATCATGAATGAAAGGAGTTTCTTGTTCGTTCTTCTCCATTCGAAACTACACTATGGAACGAACACTCAGCTTCACCAACAATCCTATTTGACGTTCCAAAAGTACCTAATCAAGGAATAATTTAAATAAACGACTTTGTCTTTGAAATATTAGCCTCTAGGCTCGACTAGTTTCAAGCCATGCCTTGAAACTAGTCGAGTTCCTCGTCAAATAATTACGTGAGTAAGCCGAAAGACATAATAATTTAGTATGTCTCATAAAAGTTGGAATATAAACATTACATCATGTAAATTGATTACCATTAATCCAAATTGACTTTCTTAACTCTAATCTTCTTAATTAAAATAAATTGTCTCCCTCAATCTTATCTTCCGACAAGATTTAAGTAATTGGGTACTTACCTTAATTATAAATGAATTATTTCAACTGCTCAATACAATAAATTATTAAAAAATAATAACACTTTCATTAATTAATGTAATAATAATAATATAATATAATATAATATATCTTTATTTGCTAGAATGTAGTTACATAAGAATAAGATGGTACAATATGTTGTCACGGAACCTTATACATTCGGCCTTGTTGGCATGCAAATATAATTCTTACAATTAGGTTGAAAAAAAAAAATTATGGTGTATCATTTAGGAAATCCTGCACAGAGTAATAACATTTATCGACAAGTAATTCTGTAAAACATTTTTTAAATTTCAGAACAGGTAAGTTTTTAATTTGGTCAGGAATTTTGTTGTAAATAATAGGGGCCATACAGATTACACTTTTTTTTAATAGGCTAGTTTTGAATACACCTGTGGATAATAGGTTCTGATATTGCGATCTTAAAGCTGTACTACGCTTTCTGGTTGCAGATACTGGTGTAAATAAACATCGGTTTGTTATTACATACATTGCTAGTTCTAGGATATAGAGGCATGGAAAAGTTAATAATTTTGAGACTTAAATATAGGTACGCAGCTGTCAGTTACTTTAAGGCTAAACATTGCTCTCAAACATCGTTGTTGGGCTTTAAAAATGTTATGACCAACTTAATTTTAGTACTTTTTTTCACCATTTTTTTAAGAAATAAGTATGCTGTTGTATGCTAAAAAATGCTGACGTCACAATCCACAATTACGTACAAAATTTATAGAAAACTCGTTTTTGACGACAGTTCGTAAAAAGTATTGAAATTGACTAATTGGCAAATCCCCAATTTGACTTGGTTTTGGCTCTCAATTATCACCCATTCACCAACACCACCATATTTCCATTTCCAGCACAAAAATCTTCATTCGCTTCCCGAAGACGCTATTCGAGACAGAAGACGCTTACCAGATCAAGAAGAATGACATCGCGACCATCATCCAGAGCAGATGGCGAGGATACTGGCAGAGGAAACAATATCTTAAGATGAAACAGGCAGCCATTGTTATACAGAAGTGGGTGCGAAGGTTCCTCGCTCAAAGACTTCTGGCCAGGAGAAAGAAGGCCGCGATGGTCATCAGGGCTTTTATCAAAGGTAGGACCTTTTTCGGCAAGTTTTAGATATGTATATGAATTTTAAAGAATTATGTTTTGTATTTCCTTGTAATAGTAATATCCAGGGTAATGAAATGTATCAAGGATTATGAGCAGATATAAAACTAACTAAGATTAAATTAATACCAAATTCCTTACTTCAATGATTCATTAAACACTGATTTAAAAAAACAGAATTTTGATAAAATCGAACAATCGAAATCCAATAACTTTAAATTATTATAAGCATGTAAAAGTGCAACTTTAAATCCAAATAAAAAATAAACAATTTCTCTCACCAGGCTTCATCACCCGCAACGGTCCAGAGACTCCAGAGAACCGTCGTTTCTTGGGTATTGCTAAGGTCCACTGGCTCAAACGCCTTGCGACCCAGCTGCCTACAAAGATATTGGACCTGTCATGGCCGCCGTGCCCCGCGACGTGTCAGGAAGCTTCCAAGGAGCTACACCGTCTGCACCGCGCCCACCTCGCGCGCAAATACAGACTCGCACTCACGCCGCAAGCTAAAAAGCAGTTCGAGCTTAAAGTACTCGCTGAGAAGATGTTCAAGGGTCAGTGTTGTTTTAAATCTTACTCTTAGTATTATATCAACGTTGCATAGATTTTTTTTACCCGATATTGAAACATTTTGCATTGGCGCTAGTGTCACTTTTAGTCTTTTTGCTGCATAACTGAGTAAAACCATGGCTCAAGTTTTAAAGTTGGGGACATCTGCAAAAGACTACCTGCCTTTTGTATTGAGTACTTACCTACGATTGTTTTGTATATACTTATTAGTTAATTGATTACTGACCTCTATTTTTTTTCTAGGCAAGAAGAACAGCTACCAGGCCAGCATTGGCGAGCGATTCCAGGACGACCGCCTGACATCGGAACACCAAACCCTCAGGAATACCTTCATGGCATCACCTTCCTGGCCTACCGGAGAACAACTTATTGTAAGTTTTGTAATATTAAACTAACTATTTATCTATTTTAAATTGAAGAGAAATCACACTATACGTGGAACGATGCATTACTAGGGCTAGCGATCATCTAGAGCGAATTTCTTTGTAGTGGAGAAGTAGGAAAGATTTCTTCTCGTTTATTAAATATCACTACCCGCGGCAGTACCTAAAATCCTATTGCTTATAAGATTGCCTATTGATTATCAGATCACACATTGACTAGTTATAATAACTAATCAGGCTGTGCACCAAAGAAGCCAAAGGCATTGCCATCAGCACTGACAATACGTAAATCACATTTCAAAAAAAGATAAGAATATCATTATCACTTACCAAAACTTATTTTTTCAGTACTCATGTGAGGCAGTGAAATACGACCGCCGCGGTTACAAGCCTCGTGAGCGCGCCCTGCTCGCCTCGGACAAGGCGCTCTACGTACTGGACGCGGCCGGACGCAAGACGTACAAACTCAAACATCGCCTGCCTCTAGACAAGCTACGCGTCGTCGTCACCAACGAGACTGATACGCTTGTACTCATCAAGATACCACAGGAACTTAAGAAGGATAAGGTATGAAACTACAATGACTTAAGTCGTTTTTTACAGTCTGAAAGCTTTTTAAATTAACAGTTCGAACTTTATACTTGAGAGTTGTAAAAGTCAGCCACTCCACTAGCGGTTCAGAAGAACGAGTTCAGAATTATACCATATGAAAATCGCCTTATGTAACGCTATGGGTTTGAACTCTTCAGAAGGTTCGTCAGCAGGTTATACTGCCGTTATCAGCCTGTACAAGTACTTTTAGTCCAAATATTGTGTAACAAAAAAAACAGGTATCAATCACTACATAGTATAAAACAAAGCCGCTATCGGCCGTCTGTCTGTCCCTATGTATGCTTAGATCTTTAAAACTACGCCACAGATTTTGATGCGATTTTTTTAATACAAAGAGTGATTATCTAAGAAGGTTTATATGTATGATACATGCATATTGCACCCGTGCGAAGCCGGGGCGGGTCAGTAGTAAAATATAAAACAAAAACAAACCAATTACATACAATGCAGTTATAAAAATAGGTTTAAAAAAAATACTAAATCAATTTACTTACTTCATTATCAAATTGCAGGGTGACCTGATCATCTCCGTATCGCATCTGATCGAGGCGCTGACCATCGTCACAGACTACACCAAGAAACCCGAACTTATTGAGATCGTCGACACCAGGACGTAAGTATTCACCATATTTCACACAAAGAAAAAGCAACATAGAGCCAAATTGATAACCTCCCTTTTTGGAAAGCCGGTTAAAAAATCACAATGGCAGAACATACTTTTTCAAACTAGGTCTGAAGCCATCCACTGTAGACTATTCTGTTTGAAATAAAATTGAATGTAAGTACATTATTACTGAGTGTATTATTCTCTATCCCCCAGTATCGCGCACAACCTGGTGAATGGTAAGCAGGGCGGCACCATCGAGGTACAGAACGGTCCGCAGGCCAACATACACCGCGCCAAGAGTGGAAACCTGCTCGTTGTAAGTATAACTTTTCAAAATTTTAGTATTCAAAGAAAATTTTAGATAATATGTAGGTATTCTTTGTTAGATAGACTCTCTTTCTTGAGACTGCCTCATTAGTCGAGTCGATCGGGTTCGATTCCCGGGTCGGGCAAAGTATTACTAGGTTTTTTTAATAAACTTCCCACTATTATTATGGCGACACATATCACATGTCAAATGACAGTTCAGACTAACACGGAGTCTGTAATTGCGGCCGGTATATGGCAATAGGCTCACCCCCTATTACACGGGACTCTTAATATATATATATAATAGTGAAAAGTGGGTGTTACATTTGACATTAAGTGCCATAATGTGCACCTCCGTCTACACCTTCGGGGATAAAAGGCGTGATATTATGTCTATATGTGTTTGTTAGATATGTCATTTTTGTATGTATGTGATAAAATGATTGCTTACATGATTTTTGAAGGCTCTATGACCTCAGCTTAATTAAAACATGTGATTACAACAATACTATTCCTTTCAGATCGCGACTCCCTGAGCAGACCGATATTGCAAGAAACTACAACAACGACGTTACTTAGAATTACTAAAATTATTCCATTTCGTATTACATAGTATTTATTGTTAGTACCAATGTAATGTGCCTGCTCGTTGTACATAGCAAATACAAGCCCTACCTTCCTGAAATAAGTCATAAAATACCGTAAAAGTTCTACAATTTTCATATTTTTTTTATGAAAAGTCTCCCAAGTTTTCACCATAGCAGGCGCATGTTTACATAAGTAAAACATAAAGTTAGTAACTTTGCATTGAAGTTAAGTGAACAAACGTCTAGTGAACTTAAGTTTTATAAATTACGACAATTTTTATGTTTCCGTACTTATTTTTTATCCATATTTTATTTTATACCCTGTATAATTAAGTACGCATTATTGATAAATACTTAGATATTTTCCAATGTGAGCTGAACCTACTGTTTTGTTAGTTATGTTGTGCTTAATTGAACAGACAAATTACAATTTTTACACGTATTTTATAAATGAAATATTATGTATATGGAAGTGTTATTAATATATAACAGTTTAATGAAATTTTTATGTATTAAATGTGATATAATGTTCATGAGATTTTCGTACAAAGTACTTAGTATTTTTTGTATGCCATACAAGTTAGGTATCGCGCGAAATGTGTCAATTATTGTTACATATATGTATTAGAAATTATGAAATCCCGTAAAGGGTAATTTTGTAAATAAGTCTAAAATACGTCCTATCTAAAATAAAAAGATCAATGTTTAGTCGTAATATACCAAAGGTATTTTAATTTTCCAAATTTTTCGAAATGTGGTTAACACGGTTATATAGACAGGCACTATGATTATGTAATAAAATTATAATATTGAGATAATTGACACATTTCCTTTGTTTGTAATAATGATTAAGCTGAATCAAAGGTGCCTACTATAAGGAAACAATTTGAATTAATGTTACAATGAATGTATTTATAAAATTAAGATAAATATGCTTGGCGTGGTCTGAAACACTTGGATAGAGTACGACCATTGCTGTCTATAACATAATTACGAACATGAGGCCTATTGTACAGCATATTGATAGATTAATACATTGCAATTTGAACAGTATGATAAATTGTATGGAATTAGACGTCCTGGAATTAGTAAAGTACTTTTAATATTAAATCGCGCCTAATTGTAAACAGGAACATGAATGTGAGCAATAGACCTCAAATGGCCATATTAAGGTACACAGGCTAATAAGTGCCTTGTTTATAAGCCAGTTCCTTCAGTCATTTTTAAATAAATGTATTTTAATAAAATGTGAAGACATTTTCAATCCCTAACCTCGCATCTAAGGTAGAAGATGGTGTAATTTGAAATAATATGCAATGTCATATTTCATCGTAGTATAATTATTTAAAAAAAACATTAGGTACATTTTTACAATTATTATTATCATAAAATGTGATAACAACAATCCAGAGTTACAGTGACAGACAATCGTCTGTTCCCGCCCTACTTCAGTCTTACTTTAAAACAAAACATGACGAGTCAACAGCTCTTTGAGAAACTGTTCGGAAAAATTGATTAGACACGGTTTAAAGATATTTTAATTCCGTCCACACATCACATAATACCTATGCTTATCTGGACGGAGGTCCAAACATCCAACGAAGTTACAATTTACATCATAATTTTACAAAAAGCTCCAGCCACTAATTACCGACATAATTACAAAGGATAAGATCAAACCATCGCACCATAAGCACACCATACAAAGTATAAAAAACGACGATTATCTCCGAAACTCCGGATTATTCACGATAGACATCGCGGTCTTACATCTATTATAATACAAGGAAACTTAGTCTTTCAGTCGGCGACTTGCAACCGATACCTGGGTCAAGTCAAGCGACAATTTACACCGCGATTATGAATATGTCAACATGTTTAACATATTTTGTACACTCATATGGGTAATGTTATTTTATGTAGTTTACTATATACAGTAGCTAAACTGAATATAATACCGCTACATCCATTTATTTTATTTATTCGGACACTCATATAAATAGCAGTAAGTTACCAGTGTAAACTTTCGCTTCCTTGACAAGAAAAACAATATCGTTTTAAAAATGCAGGGAAATATAATCTATTCTATTTACACATCAACTAATTCATGGAAGATACGTTGTTGGAAAACGCAATACATTTTAGGACATAATATGCTTATTTACAAAGACATTGTTTTAAAAAAATAATGCTGCTCCTAACGATAACTTTTACATCTGATCATAATATTTGTGAACTAACAACATGATATATATATTATTATATTTACTAGATGCATACAGCCCTGGCAGGCGCTTGGAACTCATGAATATACATACACGCTTATATAATATAAATGCCAACTAAGTCAGGCCCGATATTATTGCTAGTTAGGACCTAATATTCGAATTAAGAGCGATATGAATACACATTGTCGAATTAAGACTAACATAATAAATACAAAGAAGCAAATAAAATATTAATCTTTTCAAAATAATTTAAGTGTTAAATACTTTAAATAAATATTTTAATAAAATTCGGTATTGCCGCTTCTTTCATAAAACATGTCATTCAATTGTGATTTTGTTACATCCACCGCATTATCCATATCGCCCAAAATCATCTACATGATCGGGACCCAACAAGAACCTAACATTAAATATATAAAATTACGCGAAACAATGAAACATGAAAACAACTCAATTCCATAATATACAATCACACGACTCTCGGCTAACACTGTCTTACATTTACAGAGTCAACACAACACCAAAGTGCTATATCTTGAAGAACATAGAATGCTGAACAACTAACTCGGTGTACTACGGACTGAGCAGAGAACGCGACTAACTAATAAGACCGACAGAGATAGCGCGACGCTAATCACTTCACATAGAAAGGGTCTCTTAGTACATTGATGATACCTACCGAACTTCACAATGACAAAAAGTATAAAAACTATGAAAAGTCCTTAGGGATCACTTTTGTCCATCAGTAGTCATAACATTGATAACATACACGAGACTAAAAGTACTTTAAATGAAGAATACATTTAAAATCACGGACTTTTGTCCCTATATGTACAAGTACAGCTTCTCAGCCGCATCGCCGCCCTTTAATTAATTAAATATTTCATTCATATCCTAATCCTTTAATCCACTTATCTTCCTATCTTAGATATGATGAATTTCTAGGGCATAAGTCGAAAATTCTATTAAGGTTATTGATATAGGTATATAAATATTTAAGTAGGGTATATCATTTTTAAATAAAATCAACTTTACAATATAAGAACTGAGGAATCCAGAATCGTATTGAAGCTAAAGGCTAGAGTTTAAAGCCACCTGTCCCTTCGACCCTGTATATTATATTGAATAAAAGTTATGCAGTACACATTGCAATAGCAAATTCTCGTTACAAAGGTCTAGGATTGAAATATCCATAAACTGTCAGCTGTATCAAATATCTACTAAATTCAATATTCAATCAATTTTGTTATGTTTTCCAATAATTGTGCAAAATGGCAGTCACTATTGGACTTTTTCTGATTCATATAAGGCGCACATGGTCTTACATAGTGGAGGTGGGGGACATATAACTTTTTCTTGCATTTTATTTTGGCAACACGAATTTGGATATGTTTTGGCTGGCTACGTTTTGGCTCTAGAAGGCTCGGACAAAGGAACAAGCTGCCAACCAAACAGGATAAGGAAGAAATGTTGGCAAGAAGAATATTAAAGAGATCACTTTGTACTCTGCTTATAAAGGCACCTAGTGCGGCTTTACTGACTTGGCAGGGAACTGTGAGTTACCAGCTTCATAATCATGGAAGTAAAATAGTGTTGCCAACCGTCAAACAGTATTGCTACACTCACAAGGATTCTTAACAAAAATAAAACAAGTTATTTCGCTAAAATTGAAATAAAATTAACTGTTCTTATTTAAAATTATTCTAGTTTACATTATTTACAAACATATGCACAGGACGCCTGACATCCGTCCGAGGGTAACTAGCGCTATGCGATACTTTGGTTACTACAATATATCATACGTTTTGGTACGCGTTACATACAACGCAATAAATTAAATTGCTACACAGGGTTCCGCACCTTTACAAACGTTGCGTAATTCAATTTTGATAAGATTCACTTTATTAAGAACATAGTAATTTAAGTATATTCAGTAACCTCTCTGATATACCACATTAGGTCAGATTGGTTGTTAAATTTTGTACTGAATATTCGTAAATTGTGCAAGAAGCATAGCATAGTGCTAAAGTTTCTTGAAGAACACAGCCTTCACCTTACGAGCTAATCGTACATGAGATTGAAGCTAAACATTAGACTAGGCACATTACCACACTCGCACGGAACCCACACATCGTCACGACACTCCACAGGCAACAAGTTAAACTAGATCACATAGTCAATTGGTCTAATATAAGCACCGTTTCTTTCTTTTACGAAAGTATCTTTTACAATGTAGTCTGTACTATTTCACTTGTCCCACAGCCTCTTGCGCGGGCTCGGTGGGCTTGAAACCACTTTCAGATTTGTAAGGCTCACTTTTGTAGTCTTGGTTGTCATTTTTGGGTTGTTCGTCGCCGTAACCGCAGGGCTTCTTGCCCTGTGTATGGTCTTGCTCACGCTGTTGTCGCCGGCGCTGCTTGGACCACAGCTCGTGGCAGTCCTGCCAAGTAGGAAGCTCGGGCGCGGGCATCCTGGAAAGTGATTGCCTCAATTAATTCTATATCTAGTCAAGTGCTTACAATTACGCAAAGCATGAACAGGTCGAATTATCTGGCAGACTTGTGAATGCTGTAGTAGATAACAATCCATTCATGGGAGGAAACCTTTACTCGATATTCCCTTTAGATGAGAGAGTACACACACAATAAGAGACAATTCAGTTTTTCATTATTTCAGAGCCCACTGCCTTGTAACAAGCAACTGTTTCTGGTACGTAATACGTAATAAACGTTATTGACCATGCTATGGCCCTGATATAATATAGCTGGATGAGACACGTCTATTTCCACATGATTACACTCATTCACTCCACATAAGGATCTAAGTATTCATTGCCACAGTCAGAAACAGATCGCAAATAAAAAAAAATAAACCTGAACAATATACATATAATCAATACTCACGAGGTTTGATAATCCCAATTGGTATAACTATAGGGATAAGTTAGCATATTAGGTCTTTAACCCTAACACAATTCAACCTATTTACCAGGCACTACTAGGCTTGTGCGAAGGAACTATAGGGCCAAACTTACTGCGCTATTTGCGCAATACTGAGTCTTACTTTGCGCATGGGATTGCGCAAACAGAAATTCCTTTGCGCAAACCTTTACTTATTTCTATAATCAATCACTCATGATATCTCAGTGTCATACATCATCCCATGTTATTTGAAAAGCCATGCATTCGACTTTACTCAAGCAGTTCATAGTCGTTCATCATCAATAAGTTACAGATTGCTGTAATAATGTTTGCGAGTACAATGCGAATATATGGGTGATGATGTTAGGATCTGAAGTCGCGGTCAGTCCCCGCCATGATACACAATATACAATGTCACATATACAGATGATTGGATGACAAATGATGAAAGCTTAAAACTAACACATAAAAATGGGATGCATAAATATTTATAAAACAGTGTATAAGATTAACATAACTTGGCTTATTGTGTAATCGTTCACAACGGATGTGGTATTCGACGACAGCCCCTTCAATACTTTCATACTTGCCAGTAAAGAGTTCATTCATATTGTGTCAATGCAATACTTATAAGATAGAATTTGAAATTCAATTTAAAATAAGCTATCACAATATAATAATAGTGTTAGTCCATACGGTTTCTACATATTCGTAGTAGCGTAGCAGGAATCGAACCCACGTCATGTAGCATATGAACACACATCGTCGTTGCCACTTTAAGACCCCTATGTATAAAATTATATTTTATGAGAAGATCGATAGAAATCGTATACTTGCTGAAATAATGTAGTATAGATTACATTTTCAGCCACTCAACGCATTTTCAGCGCTTTAATTATCTAAGGCCTCGCATATGACATATCTAAAGCCCCTTCCGCAGTAGCAATGTACCACCTACGTGGTTCGTATCGACAGACGCAGTTCCATATTAAATAGGAAAAGCGGTTGAACGTCAGTGCGTTTAGAATTCGTATGTACCCACATTGTTGATTTTGAAATTGGTAAACAAATGACCAACAAATTGCTATACACTAGAGTTTCTGCAAGCTGCAGAATGTCAAAAAAACAAATAATTGGTTTAGTCAAAAGATAAACGAGTTCTTAAAGTCGCAACGTCCATATGCTACGTTGTACTTGGCAACTAGGCTCTGTCAGCCTAAGATCATCAGTAACGGTATCGTTAGTGATCATCGCGCCTACGGTGCCAAGCCAAACAAACAAAGTCAAACAACTCACTGCTCTGGCACCACATTCTTCAACCAGGGGCTTTTCAGAGCATCCTCGGCGGTGATCCTCCGCTCGGGGTCCAGCTCCAGCATGCGGTCGAGCAGCGTGAGCGCGTGCGGCGGCATGAAGGCGAAGTGTTCCCGCACGCAGCGCTTGTGGAACTTCTTCGGGCGCAGCGCGTGCCACAGGGGCAGCCGCACCACGCCCGGCCACACGCCCGGCACCGGCGTGCCGCACACGCGCGAGATCATCTCCAGCTGCATCATCTCCATGTTGGCCTGCGCAGTACACCATGTTAATAACTCTTCAAATACAATTCTCCTTATTTTCTACACTGTAAAACCTAACATTTTTGCCCGCTTGACATCGCCACATCATTACAATTCAATGCGATTGCGATGAAACTTTACAGCCAAAACGACAAAAGGTTGCAGAAATATCAACTTCTTATTCAATAAAAAAATAAAATAACATCTTACTCATTCCCTGAAGGAAATAACTGCAACTAAAACATTAATTAACACAACACCATAAATAATATCATGTTTACCTGGAATAGTGGGTGTTTGAGGAATAGTTCCCCGAGTATGCATCCCATGGACCAAACATCGACGGCCGGTCCATACCTCTCCTCCCCCAGCAGTAGCTCGGGCGGTCTGTACCAGAGAGTGATCACCTTGTTTGTGTATGGGCGCGCTCGATCCTCCGCGGACCATAACCGTGCCAGACCGAAGTCGCCTAGCTTCACCTCGCCCCTAGTACAAAAAGTCACTTTATTACACAACTCACACTTCCAAACCGCCAAGTAGTGAAATAACCAGAAATAAAACAATAAGAAAACCCTGTAAAAAGTTGAATTTGTTGCTCCATCAGCACTGTTAATCATTACTTTTGATTTGCTTAAGTCCAGAAAACAGGATAATTTTATAAATTTCTTTTAACATCATAATGAGATTCATAAAGACAGCTATGTAAAGCACAACTTAGAAAATAAGAACAGTTAAAATAAATACAAACTCACTTATTATTCATCAGTATATTACTGCATTTGATATCCCGATGCAGGAAGTTCTTTCTATGACAGTAAGCCAGCCCGTCCAGTAGCTGGCGCATTATAGACGCGTTGTGAGACTCCGTGAAGTCCACCATCTTGGATTCCAATAGACCCATCAAGTCATGGTCCATGTACTCGAATACTAAGTAGAAGGAGCCTTTGTCCTAGAATAGGAATAGGTTAAAATTTAGTAGGTCACAATAGTTGTATTTAAAAACAACTAGTTTTGTGCATTCACCCGCGTGGAAAAAGTATTTAGACAAAATATTAATAGAGAAGTGGGGAACTACTTCATAGAAGACATTTATGATTGTTAGGTAGTCATTACTAACCTTCCTGAAATCCATAGCATCCTGTTTATCAGTGACAATTTCCCGCAGGTTGACGATATTCTTATGATTAAGCTGGCGCAATATTTTGATTTCCCGCACAGCTGTAATAGGGAATCCTTCCTTTTCGTTCTCCAGCCGCACTTTCTTGAGCGCGACCAGTTGGCCTGTGTTCTTATCTCGTGCTTTATACACTTGCCCGTACGTACCTTCGCCGATTTGGGTGATAACCTGAAGCATATTGAAATGTTGCACTTTTATTTCACTTTAACATATAAAAAAGAAAAAAACCGAAAAACTTTATGTTGTATGTATAATATTAAGGTCGCATTTAACTGGCGTAGTCTCTGGAAGTCATTGAGGGAGGCCTATGTTCAGCAGTTGACGTCTTGTAGCTGATATGCTGACAATGATGGTATAACAAAAAAGTACTTTGATAGAAAGTAATATTTACCTGGAAGCCATCGACGCACTTCTCGCCCCAGTCCTTGGCGTGGTGCGTGGGTGTCGCCACAGGTACCACCTTGGACCCGCGACGTTTTAGGATACGCGGCCTCTTTAACTTCGAACCAGACTGTGAAATTCAATTTCAATATTTTATTTATGAATATTTTGTAGCAAAACCGGGTTTTTGGTGTTTCTTCTCAGATTTATCAAATCCACTAAAAACTGCCAAACTGATACTTTGTAAACTATTTACAGGACAATGAATACGTAACTCCGATTCGCCGATTTAAGCCACTTACATTTTCATTTTCAAGTTTTTTTTTTTTAATAAAATGTTGCCCCACACTAGGGTTTTCTCCTGTGTCGTGGGTGTGTTTACAAACATACAAGTTCACATACACAATGACACCCAGACCCAGAAACAACAATTTGTGGATGACACAAATTGTTGTTCGGTGCGGGAATCGAACCGCGACACGTTTCACGGCAGCCGGTTGCCCAGCCACCACACCAACCGTGCAGTCAAGTTAATCTTATCTAACCGTAGAAATATGGTATAAATGATCACTTACATTATCCCTAGCGTGTTTCCTGTTACTAAAGACATGTGAGTACTGGTCGCGGCGCGATGCAGGCGGCGGAGTGCCTCCGTCCAGTTCGTCGCCTGATAATTCCTCCGAGCCAGGGATCACTGTAATGCCCGTAGTTTTAATGTATACCGTTAGTATTTTTGTCCAAATTGTTAGTCACACAAACATTCATTGATTAACCACTTATATGCCTATGAGACACAATAGAAAACACATTGTGTCTTGCGTGTATCTACGTTACTATGGGTTAAAAAATCGTTAGACAAAGTGTATAACATTTATTTGACTAATCTTTATCAGATAGGATTGTATGAATGATATAATTCTGTTACCAATCAAATTGACAACATTGCGTTAGGATTAGGATAAGAAAGTTGTATTAGTATTTGTTAGTTTTCCCTACAAAGTTAGGCAATGCAAGCATAAACTTCAAACCTTCTGCAATAGGTCCAAGATTCCAAGGTTACCAATTTAAAGGAACATGCAGTAAAATGAAGCATAAAAATCAACGTCCAGATCACAATGTAGTAAAAAATTATGCAAGTATTTCTATTTAGCAATGAGTACACAAAAACAAGTATCAGATACTCACCAGGTGGCATTGGTAGGTTCATGATGCCAGTTCGCTTCGGTTTCTCTGGTTTCTTGACGGGAGATGGAGACGGTGTACTTAGAGGACTCTCGTTTACTAACGTCTTCAGATCCTCCACCTGGAAGTCATACCATTATGATAAAATAATGATGAAATAATATGAAAAAACCAATCAAAATAATGATTATACTAATGACTTCAGGTATATACTGAGTAGATATTTCAGAACCAAAATTTCTGAACACTGATGACCAATACATTGCAAGGATATGAACAACTGTCTTGGATTGATAAAATTAATAAATAAAAGCTTGCAATTAATAACATTATTTCGGAACTCTGCTGCGATTTCAAGCAGTTAGCCAAACATAGGCATATTATGGCAAGTCCTATCTTCAAAAGAGGAATTAGAATGTACCTGTGTATTAGGCGGCATGGGCAGCTTAGTGAGACTCTTGGGTTTATGTGTAGCGGGCTGGGAGTTCTGGTAGTACGCCGCGTCTACTACACTGCCGCGGGGCAACGGGGGCTGCGCGGGCACTGGCGGGGGCGATACTGCAGGACTCTTCGATTTCTGTGGCTGCAGAAACAAAGGTGTAATTAACATTCCTCAGCAGTAGAATTCTAATGCTGACCCGAGTCAGGATCACGAATCAGGTGATTCGTCTGTTCGTTTGCCATCCTGTACCATAAAAAACAGAAAATTTTCGAAGTATGAATGAACAATTACAAACCTCGCTAGATGGAGGATCAGCAGGCGGCGGCGGTGGTGGAGGTGGTGGCTGCGCGTCTCCATTAGCAGCAACGTGCGGCGCCGGCAATGGTTCCTGGCGACCAAACGACGCGAACTCCGGCGGCGGGTTTAGCGGGGCTGTGACCGGTGCTGGCGGGGCTGACGGAGCTGACGGGGTTGGCGGGGCTGGCGGGGCTGCCGGCGCCGGGACCGGAGGGGCTCCCGCAGCTGCCGGGGCTGCTGGCGGGGGATTGGAGGCACTCTCGTCCGCGCCCGGCATCGGTATGTCCACCACATCACCGCCCTCACGTGTCGCTTCACCATTCTCTTTGTTAGATTGCTGGAAAAATTCATTTCAAATTAGATATTAACGTGTTCTTACAACTTATTTATATGAATTAAATGATGGTTGGTATGACTAATGTAATCTTATATTTAGTTCACCTCCTTTTTCATGGCACTCATTATATCTGGCGAAAAGCGAGTTGTTTACATAAAATGTGTAGGAAAATAAATGTAGTGTTTAGCTAACCTGTGTGGAACTGTCACAAGTATTGCTGGAGAGTTCATCAATGGTGAGTATCTCAGGGTTGTTGATCGAAGTAGTATTCGACAACGCACCCTGGGACTCTTCTTCCTTCTGGTTTAATATCTCCTGCAGCTTCTGTAAAGGAAAGCAGTATTAACTCGTCGAGTACCGTATTTATAGACACAATTAAAGAACAATAGGTTGCGGTCACCGGTGACCGCTTGGTGTTTAACAGTTTAACATCAATATCTATACTATTCACAAATATTTTTATGCATGTATATGAATCTACGCTTATACCGGTACCTGATACCTGTCCTGATAAAATATAAAACGTAACTTTGACAAAAATCGCAAAGGCCGCTTATCATCATGTTTAAGAATTATTTCGCGGTTGCTCTACAGTTTTATAAGTTGTACGAGCTACGCTGTACATTGACTTTGTCGTCATACGCGCGAATAATTAAATCATCGTAATCAGCATTTCTGAACCTTGTAAACTATATAATTAATTTAATTCAGTAGCAATAAAACTATCTAAGAGATTGGTCGTCTACTCATTTAACATAAACAACATTCAACATTGCAACATAAACTTATAATCAACACTGTAGGGATTTACAACCCCTACATATGGTCCTTCGAGCAACGGTGTGATTCACTATTTATTTACGTTCGCGAATCGGTTGCACTGGCCTCCCAGAAGCGGGTCTCACCAGTGATCAATTGAGAAGTCGCAAAATATCGTAAGTAAAGGTGGTCACACAATAGCAAGAACCGAGAGAGTGGAGCGATAGTCTGCATTGATAAAGTCGAAGTTTTCGTTTGTATTTAACGGAAGTATAACAGTGAATGATGGAGTCCTCAGCAGACATGTATCAAAACCAGAAGGAACTGTCTGACAACATACAGAGGGTTGGAATCAACATCAAGAAAGACGGTTGGGCGAGGAAGAACGCTGACTATTTCAAGCGGCGAATGCAGATGTTAGAAACTTTATGGGGTGAGTTTCAATTTAACCATGACCGTTTCACGACAGAAGAAAGCGGTAAACACCCATACTTTACATCTGCTTTGTACACCAAGACACGTCAGATTTATCAAGATGTGAAAGATCTAATCATTTCCCAACACCAACAGTCTTCAAAACAGTTACAGTCCTCAACTGGGAAATTAGTAACACCAACACCGAGCACCTCTCAGCAAGTTCAAGAGAGTGTTGCCGGAGAAAAAGAGAATCAATCGAGTGGGGAGGAGGGTGACACGAACAATCCATCTGAAACACATGATGACAGCGACAGAGATAGATCTCCTTCTCGCCAACAACAACATATCCTCACGAAGAGAGACATAGGATCCAACAGCAAGCTGGATGACCTGCTTCGTAAACAAACAGCGAACTTCAAGGCTTTTATGAGAGCTGTAGCTAACATTCAAGTGGAATTTATAACAGAGAAGTGGGAGTTTGAGGATGCTCTCCAAATACTACAAGCGCGTTGGTCAGCTGTTGATAAGCTACACTGGGAAATAGAGTGCGAGCTTAACGGCGACAAGATTGTAACCTATGACGAACGCTACACGAGGTATGAGATGCAATTCAACAGCGTGAAAAGAGCTCTAAACACCAAGATGTGGGCAAATACTCACCAACAGAAAACAACGCCTAAGTTAGAAATACCAGTATTTCACGGAAAATATAATCAATGGATGTCCTTCAAAGACCTCTTTACTGAAGCGATACACAATAATATATCGTTGTCGCCGGCACAAAAGATGCAGTTTTTGAAGAGCAAGGTGCATGGAGAAGCTGAAAGGCTAATACAGCATTTACAGATTAGCTCAGAAAACTACTCGATGTGTTGGGAAATTCTCAACCGCCGTTTCAATAACAAGAAACATATATTTGCCACACATTTCAATATGCTGCTCAATATGCCGATCATGCAACAACAGTCCCTAACAGCACTCAAGAGAATGCATGATGTCACTGTTGAGTGCCTACACGCTATAAAAAACTTGGAGGTTGATATTACATCTTGGGATCCTATGCTAGTGCACATGTTGTCACTGAAGTTGGACTCAGTAACACTTTCAGACTACAATGACTCGTTGAAAAATTCCCGTGAGCTGCCTGTGTTGCAAGAGTTCCTAGACTACATAGAAGCAAAGTTTACCTCATTGGAATCATCTCAGCGTAAACAAGATGTTATCCAGAAAACTAATGGATCCAACTCACAGAGCCAAGGAAACTCATACCCAAAGAAACAGTACCACAACAATTACAAATACAACCAGTCAGATAGCAACAAGGTGGTTACGAAATCATTTCATACATTAACACTGAAATGTCCACTTTGCAATAACGAACATGGCATATATCGTTGTGCTAAGTTTTTAGAAATGAATAATGACGCAAAACTAAGCACAGTGAACAAATTGCAGTTATGCGTTAATTGTCTATTTAGCCATAATGGGCGCAAATGTACATCGACTTACCGATGCCGAAAGTGCAAAGGTCAACACAACACGCTATTACACGATGCATGCAATAAGAGCACTGAAGAAAGAGAGTCTATTTCTGCCAATGTCTCTCGAGATAACAATGACTATGAGATTCTATTAGCAACCGCGATAGTCAAGGTACAAGGTGCTGATGGAACCTTACATAATATGCGAGCCCTTATAGATCAAGGGTCACAGATATCATTGATTACCGAACATGCCGCGCAAATTATTGGTGCGAAACGTCAAAAATGCAAAGGCGTTATCTTTGGAGTTGGACAAAAGGAATCAAGCTGTACTATTTGTACACTTAACCTAATTTTATACTTAACATTCTAGTTGATTATAATTATACCTATCTTTTTGAGAGGGCAAGATGTACGAGCTACGCTGTACATTGACTTTGTCGTCATACGCGCGAATAATTAAATCATCGTAATCAGCATTTCTGAACCTTGTAAACTATATAATTAATTTAATTCAGTAGCAATAAAACTATCTAAGAGATTGGTCGTCTACTCATTTAACATAAACAACATTCAACATTGCAACATAAACTTATAATCAACACTGTAGGGATTTACAACCCCTACATAAGTAAACTAGTAATTTGGTTCACACCTTTGTTCTTAAGGACAAAGTTACTTATTTGCGTTAGTCTTAAGAATATCCCCCAAGACTAACGCAAGTAAGTAACTTTGACCAAGGCCAGAATAAAAAAAAATTCAAAATGTATCTACAGCTTTTAACACGTTAAACGCCATAGGAGTCATCGGTGAGCGGCGTTAGCGGAGGATTTACCTTCAACAGTCTTTTATTGGCAGTCAAAGTATTAATAAAATTGGCTGGATGTAATAGAGCCCGCCGTTCCAAATTCGTTAAAAGTATTAGCCGAATTTTATAACGAGACCTTTATTCAACCGAGACACATCAAGTGTCTTTACGAGCTCTATGTGACACAAAAATATTTGTATTAATACTTTACCAGCGGTTTGGCCCGCGTGGTCAATTTTGGTTGAGTAGTTAATTTATACAAAGTTAACAAATATTATAACAATCCAAAGGAAAAATATCTAGTTCTTATTCCACTGAAAGAAGTATTTTTCCTAAATAGTTTGATGTGGATTTCTTACTTGTAAATTAGGTTGTAGACATTTTAACCTACAATTAAGCTATTATTGAGTAGGTACTCTTACCTTAGCTCTCTTGTGCTTGTCCTTGACTAGTTCAGCAAACAGACTGGTATCACTAATCTTCTCCTTGAAGTCTATCTTCCGCTGGAGCATCGTCGGGGGACTGGGCGACTCATGCTTGATCCTGTATGTAACAATATGTCGTTAATATTTTGTAAAATGTATATACTGACAACATATTTATATAAAAAGACGCAACCATGCACTAAGATTTTCTCCCTTGTCGTGAGTGCGTTTACAAACATACAATCTGCATGCAATTCATATGCTAATAGAATAACATCAAGCGTTTTATATCTGGTGGTGCACGTTTTCACTCACAAAAGAACTGTATTAAATGAGACCGTTAATATAGGGTCTATATCCATTCTCCAGTCACACTTCCAGTCACCATACTGATGATTTTTCGAAAATCCCAACAATAATAGGTTGCCTGACCCAAGCAATCGAACCGTCAGTAGTCCACCTCTCGAGGGGATAGTAGCACGAAATTAGATTTTAGTGTGTGTAGAAATAGGATACAATTTGTATTACTAAAATTATATGAACATTTCCTACAACGATGCATAATTTAATGTGGTATTCAATGAAATACGACCTTATTTAGATCCCTTTAAATGTAAATTTACAGTGGTATGATGCAATATCTTATGTTATCTTATTTACATGCAATGACGTATGACTTTCATGACGCGTACATAATTTTTGTTTATTTCAATCTTACTCTTATTCACAGTCCATTTTCAGTCTCTGGATAGTGGTATGTACCAAATATCTGCCAATTTTTACCAGGTACTCAACCGTGATAACATTTCATAAGAATATATGAGAGCCAACTGACCCTTATTAACAAATAAAGTTGATCCTTATCTTATAAAATGTATGAATAACAGTGTAATTACCATATTACTTCCTGAACCACTGTCTTAGTAGTAGCAGTAGCGGTAGTGGTAGTACGGCTGATTGAAATGAGAAACAATCATTCATTGATTTCAATTCTCAAATGAGAACAGAATAAAATCAAATAAAATCTTACAGAGGTTTGCCCTTTGTTGAGTAAAAATGTAATATAATTACATTTCGTATAGAAATCAGATTGGTTTAATAAAAATGCGATAATTTTCTATTTGTAACAATCTCAGTAATAGCTCAACCTATTTTTAACCGATTTCCCAAAAAGACGGAGGTTCTTTATTCAACCGGCACTCAATTCAATCAGCATCTTTTTTTCACAAATCAGTTTGACTGCCAATTCGACAATTTGTTTAATAACGCTGAATTTTAAACGAACTGAGTAACAAAAAATATAATTGTGTATAATGAATGAATATGACAGTATTTACCGATGATGATGATGATGTCGTCCATGTCTGATTGAAATAGAAAATATTTTATTTAATATTTTCAACCAAACAACTAATAACATTTTGACAAACTATTCGATTTGTGACACTATAGACGATGCAGTAAGATTGTAAATTGGATGTGATGATGTGAAAAGGGATCAATAGCCAGGTACTTTAGAAGATGTAAAGTGGAGTTGGAGGAAGTGCAAAAGACTGTACAAATGAAAATTTCCTAATAGGAAAACTTTACTACACTGTCCCAGAAGAGCCCAACACACTACTTAGCGTTTCTACTATGCTTACGTTTTAACCTTGAGGCACAAATAGAATGTGCTCTAAATATCCTCGCGTTCCATCATCCCTATTCGTTCTCGAAATGGATGGGCCACACATTTTCCCCAAACACTACACTACAAAGGCACTCCATACTACGATCCCTTACAAAATGATTTGTCTTATACCACATTCATACCTCCAAACAAACAGATACGACAATGACTCCGCAAAACCCTAAATGTTATAATATAAAAGCCAACATCTACTATGATCCTTACATATTCCTCTATCTAACTCATCATTTCATTAGTTCACATTCATCAACGGCCTATATATGCCCACTGTTGAGCAAAGCAAGTCTCACCCCCTATTACATGGGACTCATAACATAAATAGTGAAAAGTGTGTGTTACATTGTACAGTGGCATTATGTACCTCTGCCTACCCCTTCGGGGAAAAGGCATGATGTTATGTTATGTGTTGGGCAAAGCGTCTTCTCACACGGAGTTTTGAGCATTAAGCACTAATCACCATGCTTGCTATTTATTTAGCATGATCAAAACTTATAAGCCCAGGTTTCCTTACGATGCTTTCCTTTATCGTTTGTCGGTGATGTCTAAATAATCTTAGAAAGTAAACTAATGTTACAGTATCTTTCATCACATACACGCATCTAGTCATACAAGCACGATTATTTCTCAACTAAATCCTTTAGTCTAGCGACTAAAACCCCATATACAAAAATATGTTAGACAAACAAACATACCTGTGTCGCTCCCTGGGCGATGGCTCCCTATGTTTGGCGCGGTGTCGCGGCGGAGACTGCGTGGAGCCACGCCGTCTGCTGCGCGACCTAGTCCGGCGCCGCTTTAGCGAGCTTCGGCTATGTGACCTGTGTATGGATGGAGTTGTTTAGTAGCAAGTGTATTGATAGATTGTCACGCCAGCAGAGGTAAAAAGAATTTAAGATGAGTTTTTGTTTTCAACACATTGTATTGTCTTGACAAGATTTAGATTGGAAAAACTTTAAAGTTTTCGTTAAGTTACGTTTTAAGAAAACTATGTAGTTTACTGCCTCTATAAAACTATAGACCTATATAAACTCATATACATAGGTGAGCAATAAAGGAATATTTTCAATGTAAGTATACAACCGTAAGTCTTCAATCAAAATGTTACGGAGTTTACTATCGCCAGCATAAAATATTTTGGCTATCTATCCTTACCTGCATGATGCTGGTAGAGTTAAGTACCAGAACAATTTCAATATAACTGTGGTTGCGGCGGCTCTAGCAGAAAGTTAGTATTTGCATCCCAAATTAAAAAAAGCATACCAAAAGAGGCAATGGGCAACAGAATTAAGACTAGCCCCAAATCTATTAAATAGACCAAAATATAAGTCCAATAACACAACTTTGTGAAGTTACCTGTTATAAACATGGAATCACTTAAGCTCCAAAGAGCAAGGTAGAAATGCACATAATGTAAAACGGGCTCATGTTATGAGCTTCCATCTCTTATAATTATTGCCCTTTTGAAAATTGCATACTGCTAATTAGCTTACCATCAGGTGATCCGTTTATCCCATAAAAAGTCAACTTATAAACATAACAGAAATAACACAAATCTTACCGATGCGAAGTTTTGAAGTCCCTATCACGGTGCCTGTCTCTGGATCGTGTCCTCCTCCGATGGTGAGGACTGCGACGCCGGTGGGAGCGACGCGGACTGTACTCCCTTGGACGTGGCACTACCTCGTGGACTGGAGAGTCTGTGGAAGAATTCAGTGTTATGGTAGATTGGTCGAATTTAGGATTAGGTTTCGTAAGCTATGAAGCATTTAATACTGTTTATTTTTACTAGAATGGGTTTTGTTTTGTAAAATACCTACCTGTAATTTGACCTGTATGTTTGTATGTCTGTGCGCGATCATCTCGCGATTGGCTGAACCGATTTTGATGCAGTTTTTATAAAAGTGTTCGTTACAGTTAGGAGAAGCTTGTAGTAGATATATTAATTAACTGACAATTTAAAAAAAGAGGGGTTAAAATCTGTTTTTAAGCGTAGTTTATAAAAGAATGATGACTATACTATTCTAGCCCCTCTGTCTCTTATAATTGGCCCCCAATAATAGTTGTTGACTTTATTTATGAAATATAACCACATCACACCTTCAATCCCACGAAGGATTTGGAAGAAGTGTCCATTAAGACATAAGATTGCACCGGTTGTTACATGCCTAATGACATATGACATATTGGGTAAAGTTCATACTCTACTAAGTCTGCTAATAATTTTCCCGAATCGGGAATAAAACCCGAAACCCTGTAATATACTCCACAACAAACAAGTTATGGGTGAAGGGAAAAATGTATTAATATGTTAACAATCAATTGTGTTCAAGGTCTTAAAGGATGACATGTTTTGACCTCTCACCTATCAAGTAGGGCATCGCAGTTGATAATGTCAATCATAGAAACAATTATTCATTACTACGACTATCTATGATTGTCGTAAAGAAAAATAATATCAAATACTTAGTTATTTCTAATATGAAATTCGAACCAAAGCTATTCCCACAACCAAAATAAACCATCGTAGACCGCGTCATCGCTTAACACTAGGCGAGATAGTGATCAAAGGTCGGCCCATCAAACATTAAAAAAAAATACATGAAAATGGGCCCCATCTAGCTATAAAGTTTACTGAGTACGGACATATATGAGATAAGACTTGCTAAATAAATACTAATAAAATTATGATGACATAAACATAAATTACATAACATAATTAAATCTTGTATTACCCAAAAGATTAGGCAGAGGTAGACATATAAAATGTAACACAAAGTTTTCACCCATTATGTTATAAGTCCCATGTGAGCCAGTGAGCCCATTGCCACATACATAAAAAATAATCCCAAAACAATGATAATGATATTTACGATGTAAACAATAAATTATTCCACTTTAATTTAAATGCGAAAAAGAAAACTGCGGGAAAGCAATTAGAACTACGCAATAAGAAGCTGCTTAGACATATGCATACCTTTTCAACATCAATGAGATTATATTTCATTCTCAAATAAAACATTTTAATTAAGGAATCTCAATGAATCGATGTTTTGCCTTAAAGCATTAAAGGCAGATGCTGTATGATAATTACATCATTCTAATAAGTCTTTCTGATGTTGTGGTAATCCAATACACTATTTACTTCAAATATAATATTTTCAGAACACGAAATATACGCATATGTCTAAAACCAGAAATATAAAATGCAAATGAAACATAAAACAATACCTACAATGTGTATTACCTGACACCATGATAGGTGATTGCAAGCGATGTTGTTCGTGCCAGTAGTCTCGTCTGCCGCGGTCATATTCCTCTGTGTCCGAATCTATGGTCACCGTCTCGTGGTACGGAGGAACTAACGGCGTGTGAGGCGTCGTGGACTTCTGTCTCCTTCTGTAGACATACATCGAATTGAAATAAGTATAAACCAAAGATTATAATTATTATCTAGATAAATGTAATTTGACAACATCAACATGCTGGACTAGAAATAGAAAGAAGGTAAGTGTCAGTATCTTTGCTGAGTGAGCGGGAGGTAGAAAAGCTTAGATAGTAAATAGCTGAAAGGATAACATAGTAGGCTTATAGCTCACTTCGGATCGATCAAAATCAGTCGTCTCTACTTTTATAACTTATTTCCACTTTCACAACAATCGCAGTTGGACCGTAAGCAGAACCCACTTATATTTCCAGTAACTGACAATAATGAGAGGCCCATGTGCCTATCTTTGTCCAGCTGGGGGCAAAACTGGGCTGATGCCGATGATGGGGACTTAAGATAGTAAGACATAAATATAAATATAAATATTACTGACAATCCTAATTTAAGCCTAAATCTAGCCTTTGATTTGCTGATAACTAGCTAACTAGCGACATTAGCTAAAGAAACACAGGTTTAAACAATTCAAACTACGTCTATGACTAACAATTGTAAAATCAATTTTCAAATGACCAAGTAGGTACATTGTTAAAACTATCGATAAGTACAAGTTTACGATATCAATATGGAGGTCAATAACTTAGGATTTTACTGTTCTGCGTTGGAACTGTTACTTGGGGAGTAGGCAGAGCCTGGAAGACATACAGGTTGCGACTGTGAGAGTGCATTGAAGGTGATAAGCAATATCAATTTTAGGGCATTTGTGGTGAGACGTAATCCATGTATTTTATGGACAATTGCCACACGAGACTTGCTGGAAAATGAATTAAGGAAATTCTACGTAACCCAATGTGACGGTTGGTGTAAATTAAACACAAAATAATGAATTTTCGATCTTTACAAGGAGAATATCTGGAATATTCTAATGTATTCATTAGATACTGAAACCTCAGCTGCTTGAATATGTGTCGCATACAAACGCTAGTGCAAATGCACCTCAAATGTCTCGTAAAATATTCCTTATGCTAATTAATTACATGCGTCTATAAGCGTTACTATGGCGTCTATAACCCACTAAGTATACATTTAGGAGGAGATTTATGGTTCAACTATGTGCAAACCATCTGTTTAATCGTAAATATGATAAAACACACGTTAAAATATTAATATTAAGATCCAAATAGATTTCTAAATTGTTTGGTTAAAATGCAATTTCATTTTGCTCGCGACTGTACAGAGTATCGAAGATTCTCTTTCAATAGTTCCGACTTTAATACAAGACGATAACGTTGCAAATTAAATAAATAAAGACAGTTTAGAGAAAGTTGACCTGCTGACTTCTATGTACAACATCTCATGCGTTTGACGCTAGGCTACTGAGAAAAACTAAATACCTAAGTAGTAAATAGGAAATAAGTAAAAATATATCTATACCAAAAAAAAATTAAACACAATGAATTCATGAAAGAAAGATGGAAATCTATTTGTTAAACAATGAAGGCACTACTACACTAACCGACAACTAATTTAAGCGAAACAATTACCTAATAAACACTCCTTAATTAAGTTGTAACGTTTATTTCATTGCGCTCTCTGAGACTACTATTAAGATGTCAAAGATATAATGATCATCTCCAGTCACGCTATGATAATTAGGAAAAGAGTATGAATCTGCGTTTAGGAACCCTTTACATAACGCAAGAGTAATGTTTAACTGTTTTTTGTTTATTTGTTTGCAAGGTTTACTTATTAAGGAGTAACATGGGATAGGTACTTTTAATCCCGCTAATCCTACAGGATCAAGTCTACTCGAAAGGAATCTAAGTTCCACACGAGGGAATTATTGTATATTATAGAAAGTAAGAAAAGATTTATCGCGAAATAATAAGTGCATAAAGATTACGGAATTGAATTAAAATGTCATAATTTTTTGATCATGTTTAATTACCTACCATGTGGAAAACAAACGTGCTAGACAATTACAAGTTCATTATAAACCACTTCTCACAGTTGATAGTGAGAACGTGCGGAAAAAGAAAAACAACTTATAAATACAAGGTACCTTTAGGTACTTTATTTAATGCAAAAACTACATGGGTGTATGCAAAACGGCTTGACCTTGAATAAAAAGTATTAAAGTTTAGGAATAAACAAGTTATTACTTCAAAACTATTGGTTGTACCACAGATGAAATAAAGCGTATATCATAAATCAACAAAGCTGAAACGTTTCCGGTACTTCGTCCTTTTTAAAATCACTTGAATTTAGCGCCGATATTGCATATTAATTAAAAACTATAATAATACCACAAATAACCGACCAATTATTGTATTTATTTATTTATTAAAAACGTGACACGAATGAATTAACGCGAAATGTCGTAATGTTTTCAAACAAGCCAGTGCACCGTGATAAGATAAACGTTTAAGTATTGCGATTCGTTTTAATTAATTGCAGATTATTCAGTTCCTCGTGAAACAAAAACGATTTTAACAGACTGCATAAGTAACCGACCGTCATAAAAATACATATTTATTAAGAAAGTTGCACTAATCACTAAGCTAGCTACAGTAGGTACCTGTACTTACTTTGTATCGCGTTTTTTATTGCTTGAAGAAACTGGCAGAGGTGCCCAAGTGCACATATCAACGGCACCACCAACATTTCGGCTGCGTATCAAAGGACAATGCTATTGTCATAAACCGCAACAATTCTATACTGTAATATAACTAAGAATCTATCTAATAACTACTAACATATAGACAAGTCACAGTGAATTAACTTTCAAATAATAGCACATGCGCGTCTTGTCTACGTGTAGAAAAGAAACTTATCGATATTAGGTACCTTTATTTTCGGTTTGTAATAAAATTAATGTGCTTAAATTAAAATACAGCGTGTGTAACGAATGGTGATTATTTTAGTTGATTAGAGCAGTACTTTAGAACGTTCATGCAATAAATTCTAAGATTTGGGACCTATTTCATACAGCCGACTATGTTTCTTTTACAGGCACATTTGATATGAAAGATACGTCAAATTATCCGCCGCTAGTTATTTAGCTACCATAATAGTAGATATCTAAATATATTCGTCATAATAATGGTCAAGTCTCAAGTCGTTCGAGTCTCAATAACCCATATCCGGGCGTTGATTCATAGGGACTTACACAACACGATAAGAAATTGATAAGCACAATTTACTTTCCCACAGATGAAGAAATATTTAAATTAATGCTATTTTAAACTAGTTATAAGACTTCTAAAGCGCTTACAAGCATGAAAACGATCAAGTTCTTTGTAACAATATGCACAAAAGCATAAAAAATGACGCAACAAAGAGAAGCTCAACTCAAGGCTACGAAAAACCTACATCTAGTTAATTTTTTTTCTGATTTACTTTGGATTAAAGAAACAAGGCGTTTAGTTTTGTTCTTATAGGTCATGCAATAGCAAGGTGGCCACGCCTACTTCTACAGAAATTACATCTATCTTAAAACTTTTTCGCATGTTATGAAATGGCGTTTAAACAAAATAAAAATTATTTCTTATGACAAATAAACATAAAAAAATTAAGATATTCTGATGGGGATAAGAGATTATAAAGTTGTTCTAATTGGGACATTCCATTCAGTTCATTGCTTATTTTTTTTAAAGCGTAAATATTTCATTATCTACCTATTTCACACACTTTATCTACAACACATTTAGTTCATGCTCATTAAAAAATCACTCACAAATCACAATTACTCTGTATAGAGTAGGTTGCTATGTGATGGATCGGCATCCAGGAGGGGCTGGAAACCATAGTAACCATCCATCCATTATCAGTACAAAAATAAGCACATGACAAAAGTAATACATTAACAACAGATCTAATAAGACAGGCTAGACAGGTAATGGAATGTTGTCATATCTAGACCTCATCACATTAGTGATAAAAGAAATGGCTATCAGTAAATATCAGACATCCATGAAATAAGCACAGTAAAAATTGAGATGGACACCTATGAACTTACGGTCCTCACAGGTCATTAATTAATAGCATATAGATTAATATTCGCGTCGTATGCGCCTACCAACTCATAAAATACCACTCTATTCATTACCTTCTCTGTGGTTACATAATAAAGAAAAGTACATGGGGCTAATGGGCTGTGACCAAAAACAGGTTTAATGGTAATGACTAATTAGCTTCAGTGAAACAGTTCCAGTAGCCATGTAGTATTCCAATCTCAATCGGCTACTGGGCTTCTGGGACTGTTTCATGATGCTACTGATTTAATGAAAAGAAAAACTCACCTGAGAGGTGGTGATCTGTCTCTATGAGGCGAGTAAGGCATGGGGTTGTGATGTAATGATTGCTCCCTCGCGAATTGACGATGTCGTGGAGACTCGTGCCGCATCAGCGGCGTCATCGATGGGGACACTGGAGAACATGAACCCCCATTCCTCAATGGAGAAGATGCCTTCTCCCATTCACTCACAGGCACCTGCTGGTATCTTTGTGGTGTGACTGCTCTCTTAGGAGGTTCCTCAGGAATAATATCATCTGGAGATACACTCTCTAAACTTGCTGATCTAGATCTATTCTTTGATTTCTTCTTCTTCTTTTTCTTATCTTTTTTCCGCTTGTCTTTTTTCTTCTTAAAACTACCATGGTCAGCAAAGTCTGGTTCACGTTCATCATACTCTGAGCGTCTCTTCCTAGGCACAGATGCATCCCGTAGAACATATTCTTCAGCAGCTCGACGACTTGTTGTTGTCACTGATATTGTCTTGTTATCTACAAATGTACGGATGGAATGGGACTTCCTCGTTCTATCAAGGTCATCAGCGATATGCCTGCTGATTGAGCTTGTTTCACTGTCTATCTCGCCAGCCTCAGGAGCTGATAATGCCTCTGAGCTAACATCAGAATATTCCACAAGCGGTTTATGAGAATTGACTGTAGCATAAGATGGATCATGCGAACTACCTGAGTGTGACTTGTGCTTTTTATGAGCCCGCTTCTTATGCTTGTCCTTATGGTGTTTGCTATGCCTTTTATCGTAGCCTCGCTCCATGGTCGACTGGGGCGGCGCCCCCGCCCTGTGTCGACACTTCACATCACTTCAACTAAAACATAATAAAAAACATATTAATGATAGGAATTATGCATGGCTGCACTACATAAAAGCATAAATAAAATTGATAAGCAATAAGCTGTACAAAGTTCATCTCAAAACAAATATAACAGAACAAAATAAATAGAAAGATTAGTATGAATGGTTAGTACATACCTACAAAACTTCACAAAAGTTGATGTAAATAAAAGTATATGGTTGCTGATTGTCAAGCAGTACTAATTATTATGGCTGACTGTACCCGCAAAAATAAGCACGTAGACAAAAATTAGGTACATCTAAATAAATTCAGAATTTCGTAAATTAAAACAAATACCACTTTATTGGCTACACAACAACTGATTACTGAGAAAATTAATTAAAATGTAATAAATTCTAAAAATAACACAGTCGTAAGCACTCGCGGTTTCTAATAATTCCAAAAAAATTATAAACAAATCACTGCACTGCACAAGCACATGCACAATAATGAAAAATAAAAGGACTTACCTGAGTAATAAACGGACGTGCGTCCGTCACACGCACTATAAATATTTTTGCAATTTAGTACGAATTGTGTAAGCTAAGGTATTAGTTTCTGATATATCTTTATTTCAAAAGGCTTTCTGCCTGTAATATATAGTAATCTTAGTTCTTTACTCTTTATATAATCTTATTTCGCTAATCATTATCATGAAGAGCGCATAATTCATGTAATTACATCGGATTTATATTAGGACCAAGAACGTCGATTTTAGTCAGCCATTTGCTTTTTTCATTCATTTTCTTTCATCATCGTTTAGTGGTGTGCTCATCTATTCAGCGTGGTTATGTTGGTACTCGTGAATTTTCGATTTAAAATCTTACTCGATCATAAATCTAATTTTAAAAAATATTAAAGGATAATTTTTCGTATCACAAAATAATAAATATATATTTCCAAAATACTAAGCACAAAAAATTCAGAGAAACCTGTCTTAATTTTTCGATTCTCGAATGAGAAGAGAAAAGTAGGTTTAGATCTACAACAATCTTGGATTATTGGATAATGACTATCAAAACTGATGTTTCTATGTATGAGAGTTACTATTTGTTATAGTATCAAATACTTCATTCGTAAAAAACCTAACAAAATTTACAAATATAAAAAAAAATACCATAACATTTTGTTTTTATAACAACAATCGTGAGACAGGGACACAGTAATTGATATTTTGTTTTGCCGATATGATACTGAATACAGATTGGTTTTTAAGACAGACAGTTATTGTAATCAATCATAAATTATTTTTACTAATCGATTACGTTTCAACTATTTTTTTCAAATGTCATGTATACAACCCTACAAAGCTTTTGGTTGGGTTGGCGGAAAGTTTGAAATACATAGTAGTTTCCGATCGTTTTACACATTAACTAATTATGAAAGCATTTATATGGTTTAAAATTATTATAATTGTATGATTGTATTATAGATTACATTTTACTTATATAATCTCCAATGTTTGCGTTAAAAAAGTAAGACTTTTTTGTCCTTTTAACTCATGTGCATCCGCCGGAAAAAGGATTTTCCTTTACTCACAATACTTATATTTTCTTCAAAATATGAAATCTGAATTTAAGCAAACACAGTGACCAAAACATAAGTCTTTGAATACATAATGTTTATGGATATTTCATCTTAAATTTTACACATTTTCACATAAGTGAATAATTCATTTGCACATAAGCATTTCTAATGACAATTTATGATTCTGCATGTAATCGATTTGTACCCAATTTACTTACCATTAAAAATATTATTTTAACAGATGGTAGAAAGCATTTTAGTACTAAAATGATTAGTGTATGTTTTATTGTTCTAAGTGAATAATTAGTATAGAAGATTATTTTATGTTAAATTCGCTTATTTCAAATTATCTACAACATGCCATTAATAATAAATACGTGAAATAATAAACATTCATTTTTTGTCACTAAAAAGTGATTTTAGATTAATTTAGATTACTGAACTATGGCAACTCCGAACAATTCGCGTGCGATTTGCGTCCTAGCGCTGTAGCATTTATTTTGCTGATAATTTTATGGAATACAAAAGTAATTTTAAGCAGGAATTAAATTTACTTCTAATATGATATGCAGTGACTCGTTAAGATAGCAAACAGTGTACTGTTGTCACGGAATCAGTCAAAATGACCCCTGAGTTCACGGCTGCTATTGCTAGTACATTGTGATATTACCCAATATGGGAAAGAAATTACAAATAATTTAGCAATTAGACGTGTTTATATAATTTATTTAGTTAAAGTACAACGCTGGTGAATCGTTGAATGTTTGTTGTAGATCAGTTTAATGAATTATGGTTACAAATGGTCATTTTAAAGTCATTGAACCTATGCGCGGCGTGGTGACACTGTGCAGTGACTTGTGAATCGGAAATATGTAAATAAACATGAACGATATAAGCTTGAAAATAGTGGAATCTCCGAAGAGCCACGGTGGTGTTGATGTGTCTCCGACAGGGGATACAAGTGCTGAGAATGAGGTTGATCCGTTGGCAATAGACGAAGGTGAACTCGAGAGAGTCAAGGAGCCGGTATCGCAGGAAGCGGTGCTCGAGAAAGTTGACGAGGAAAAGGCGGGAAACTGTGATGATAATGCCAAAGAAGAAAATATAAGTGAGAGCCAGACTGGAAGTAGTGATAGTATTGTAAATGCCCAGCCAGAGAAACCTGAGAATGCTAATGGTAACTATAGTAAATTTTTCCTATACTCAACTATTCCTTCCTATTTTTAAGTGATGAACTCTAAATTGATCTTAAAAATATGAAAATAGTTTAATTATCTTAGCCACGAAATGACATACTGTCCAAGTATTTGAAGAATGTAATAGATTGCATGTTCTGTTACATGATATGTAGTAATTTGATGCATCTTTGTTATTTCACTTTTTGTCGTCAATTTCTACTGTGTTATTAGACTGCTCTAAGTACACTAAATTGTTAAACAACAGAATACAAAGGGGTGCAATTTTAATTCTATTATAATATATTTAATTTACTACAGGCACTCAATACCCATGATAACTCAGTCTAAAGTCCATAATTTTTTAAAAATAATTATAGTCAAATAAAATTGTATGTTAATAGATTTGACTCATAATAAACTTACAATAACAATAGAACTGCTGGTGAATATCAACCTTTTCAAGACACATCTCTCAGTAAATAACTACTTATATCAGAAATAGGAAATTATTTTTAACTTACTTTTCATATTAGTATGCTAGTTCAATCATCCAAGACAAATATTAATAGAAAACTGTCAGCTTTAACATTAAAAAAATAGAATATTTATAAAGTAATAAATAATTAAATTATAAAAATTGTTTATCAAACATAAAAACTTCCAAAAGATGTAAACAGTAGTCCAATATTTACATTATTATACAATTATAGTAAATAATAAATACTAATATCGTTTAGCAACTTACTTTAAAATAATCAAAGATAAATTTGGGATGAGTATGATTAGGTATTGTTTATATACTGTAGCATCCTGCCTGAGGTAGGTTTCAGTAAAAACCTGTATTTCAGGCCGTTATTAAAGTTATACTTGAAATTGGAGTGTGCCTATTTATTACACACTTGATATCTACCTTGTTTCAAAGAGTTTTAATATAGACTGATATGTAACTGACATAATTATGTGAAATCTTACCAGTGAAATGTTTTGCCCCCAATTCTCTTAATTAATGTATCTTCCATATTATATCTTATTGTTTTAACATAAGCAAAGCAACTTTTAATAACATAACATCACGCCTTTTATACCCGAAGGGGTAGGCAGAGGTGCACATTACGGCACTTAATGCCACTGTACAATGTAATACCCACTGTACACTATTTATGTCATGAGTCCCATGTAATAGGGGGTGAGCCTATTGCCATATACCGGGCACATTTCCAGGCTCCTTGCTACTACTGAGGTTTAAAAAAACCCAGTAATACTTTGCCCGACCCGGGAATCGAACCCGATTACCCCTGGTCCGACAGTCGCACTTGCGACCACTCGGCCAACAAGGCAGTCGCAACTTTTAATAATAATATAGAACATATTGTATTACTATAGTTTCGGTAGATGCAAGTACATATCTTTTCTTTTTGCAAATATTTAACAAATAGTTTGTATGTTTTTATGCATAAACCCATTGTATCATAACTGAAATATTTTTTGTATTATTCTATTAAAGCGTTACTTAAAATATTGAATAAATGTGAGCTAACTTTGATTGTATATTGTATATGAGTATTTTGGTACCTATATTTTATTTAAAGCTTTTGTTCACTGACCACTGTTAGCTTAGGTGACACCTATTTTGTATAGAAAATACCTCAAATTGAACTGACATTGTGAAACAGGTCCCTCACATTTATACTTGCAGATAAAAATAGGTATTTTTATTGAGTGACAGTAATGTAAAATGTAATGATTTAGATTCACCATTGAATCTTATTTATATAGGCTTATTTTAAATGCTTTTAAGATTGCCTCAAACTAAAAACTTCTTTTAAGAAAAAACCATCACTATAATCTTTTCAAATTCCTTCAAATCTTTCAGAGAATTTGAAGCAAGAGAGGAGTAGTTGTAGCCCCCCTGCGCTAGCAAAGACTCCAACTCCTGATCCGCCTAAACCACAGAATGAACCAGCTCCTACCATTGAACCAGTTCCAAGTACCAGTAAGGCTCCAGATGTAATTGAGAAACCGGTTGCTTTAGACAAAGCGGTTGTAGAACCTGTGGTACCAGTAAAAGAACCTGTTTCTGAGAAAGAGGAGCTTATGGTGGTTGAGGAACCAAAGAAATTGGAACCAGAGGTTGATGCGGAGATGACTGAAGTAGTTACGGTTGAAGAGAAGACGGAACAAAAAGTGGAGAAATCTAAACCAAAGTCAGTGAATGGGGATGTTGTAGTTAAGGTAAGAGATAACCAGTATTTATTTAACATAACATCTTACCTTTTTGTCTCCGAAGGCGTAGGCAGAGGTATACATTACGGCACTTAATGCGGTGTACAATGTAACACCCACTTTTCACTATGTTTGTTATGAGTCCCATGTAATACTAATAGGGGGTGAGGCTATTACCATATACCGGGTACATTCCAGACTCCATGCTACTACTGAGAATTTTTTAAAAATTCAGGTATACTTTGTCTGACCCGGGAATCGAACCCAGGACCCCTTGTTCCAGTTGCACTTGCGACCACTCTACCAATGAGGTAGTCAGTCAGTATTACTTCTATGAAAAAATTAATATAATTTTGGTTTTTGCATACATATTATGAGGATGACGCACTTGCAAAAGGGTAAATTATTAATTGTGAATTTAAATTTGGGAAATTACTAGTCGATGATGTTATTAGAAAATATAGTGACTATATGTATATTATATGAACTCACTACCATGCATGAGTACTCACTATGTTATGGGTAATTTAATATAAACTTTATGTTACATAATAATATTAGTAAACATTTGACTCCATTATAGTAGCTGACTGCAATGGACGGCTAGGTTAATTTGCAATTCAGCCACCAAATAATAGGACTCCTGACATGATAACTCTTAGAATCTCGAAATAGATCTTTCGTGCTTCCAGATCTTTCCTCCATTTGCATATATGGTTCAAAAACATACCTACTATGCGCAACTATGAGCCCCGAAATATCTAGTCGATAGTTTCAGTTATATGTTTTAAAAAAAAAAAACTTCTAAACTCAGTATTTGACTCTGGTTGGTTTCTGCATAAAAACTTGTTGCACAACGACCTTCCGTGACTCTTGATCTCTGCCAAGGTCATGTTACCCAAGCTGCTGACAAATTGTTCAATATGGCGATATTGTAAATTGTAAACTATGCCAGCTCTGTACAATAATATTATTATTTCAGTTCATTTTGTACAAGTGTTCTCTGCGTGCGGGTTTGCTCGCGTAGTATTTAGGATTCTATCGAGTAAGTCCCGATTCTGCCAGAATGGCAGAATAAAAGGAGTCTTTATTAAAGGTTAAATATTTTTTCAAATCAGTCCGCTACTTTCGGAGCCTATACTATGCTTAAAAATAATTATTGATAATTAGTTAATCATTACAATTTTTGTAATTCGAAAAGAAAGGTTTTATTAGAACGATCTGTAAGAAATTTATATCTCAAGGAACTGATTAAATAAATGAAGGTTTTTATTTTTGATAATGTTGTAAAGAATCATAGACATATTTTCAGGACAAAATTCTTATTATTATAGTCCTCACGAAATTAAATATTATTTGCTCGCTTACAAATATCCAACATTACTACGTCTTATGAGACTAAACACAAAAATAAACAAGTAACAATAAGCAAGGAAGTCCTGCATAGAAGGTTCCCAAGCCTATTAATGCTCTTGCATCTGACGCGCACGGTACATGATACAGCGATACACATATATAAACTAATGCCTTAGTCCCATTGGAGTGGATGTAGAAACCATCCTTATATACTTTAGCTTCCATCACATTCTTGCACCGCATAGCAAGGATCGTCTGTCTACTTATTTATTTTAGTAGCTCAAAATTGTATGGTCATGAGTCGAAATGAACAGGGTCAAGTGAGGTCAGGAATTAAGGCCACCGCATTTTACCATGTCTACAGTCTACGAAATAGATATCTAGACTTATTGATATGGGTATTGGATCCTTATTTCATTTCGTATGTAATAAGTTTGATGATTGAGGTGGAAGAGTGGTTGCGATTTTTATTTTTAATATTTAACCCCTGGAACTTGGAACGTAGGTATATACGCGAGACACAATGTGTTTTCTATTGTGTCTCACATGCCGACAGATAAGAGGTTAACGGGATGGCGTTTGGCTTCGTAATTAATATTGAAAGTAAAGTGCAACTGTGTAAAGAATGTGACGTTTATTTGCCTAGAGTTCAAGGTCTAGACCTAACATGTAGACCATCGCAATGTGCACTTCATTTACTTACCAATTTCAAAAATGTTGAAGAAAATCACCTTCGAAGATAATGCCTCCAACTATGCAAGATAAAACTGATGGTATCATTTACTAATGTATTGCTCTCTTTATAGGAGGACCAAGGTACAAAGAGACGGCCAAGCGAAGACGTGGACACGGAATCACCTCTGAAGAAGCTGTGTCAAGAGGTAGAGAAGACGTTTCCCCAACACGACACGATGATCAACGACTACATACAGAGAGCCACGAAGAACAACGTAGACGAACTACAGAGGCATACAGAACAGTTGCTATCCGAGATACAAACGCTCAGAGAACTTGCGCAGAAAAAGGAACACGAGTGGAACAACATTCTTCATCTCAAAAAAGTCAAAGAAGAAATCCTACTCCGACTCCTAAGGCGAAAACAGGTTTTAAATTACGAAAAATCTCAAGAAGTTAACGGCGGTGATAGGGATCGGGATCCTTTCGAATATCTTAATAATCAAGCAAAGAATTTAGCTATAGATAAAAGTGATGAGATTTCTGGGTTGTCGCTGAAGCAGCCGGGGACGTCCATGGCTCCGATGTTGCCGACTCCTATCATGGCGAGTACTTCCCACTTCAACCCCATGGCGGGGTTACCGCCGCCTTACGACAAGGCGCATATGTCTATGCCGAAACCAGTATTCCCTCAACAGATGATGATGCCCGGTCACATAACTGGGTTCCCAAGAGACATGAACGGTCAGTTACCTGCTAGTTTTGGCCTTCCTATGGGTCGGCAAGGGCCTACAAAAGACGTTAAATCCATTATAGCAGACTATAGGCAAAGGAATCCAGAAGTTACACCGAGAAGAGGTCGGAGGATGAAGTCTATATTAAATCCTAATATGATGAATGCTCCTAGACCGATAGCGCCGAAAGTAGATAATTTGAACAACTTGAACAATATCAATATGCTGTTCAACAATCTTGACATGGTAAGTCTTTCATTATATCATAATTCACTTAATGAAATCTCGTTGCTCAACAATATCTCAATTTCGTTAATCAACATTTTTTGTGAAACCATTTTTAATTCTAATGAAACCTAGCCGTAGTGCATTATATTTAGATAACTACAATTTATAGTTATTTTAGCGTCATCTATCAAAGTAAGGAAATGAGTAATTCTGAAACTATAATAGAATAAGCTTATCAGTAACTATAACTATGTCGATATCCGTAGGAGAATTTTATTTTATGTACCAATTTTTAAACAAGTAAAATTGGTCTCTAGTCTAATTGGAAAGGTCAAAAAATACACTTTTCGGTTGTTACAAATCCCATGTTACATTGTAGTGAGCATTCTAGCTATCATTATCATAATCGATACAACACGGTAGTTGACAATTAGTCAAATTCAATACTTTTATCGAAACGTCAGAAACGATACTGTTCTATGAATTTTGTACGAAATACCATCTTATGACGTCATCATATTTTCGCGTCAAATAGCACACTTATATCTAAAAAAAATGTCGCGGAGAACCTAACGGGTTACCGGGGCTCCGGCTCGACATGCAGGAGAAGGAACGGGGTGTTTTTTAGTCAGTAAGAGTCTGACACTCCCTCCCGTCTCAACTAGGCGGGAGCAGACATTCAATGATTTTCCCCCCTTAAACAAAATGTCTAAAAAAATGCGAGAATAAATCGATAGTTAAGTATATCGGCAAATCAATGAATGAAAGTGTAACTATTTTTAATATTTAATTGGACTGAAAAAATCAAAATAATTTATTTTTGACCCAGGAAACTACCCAATTCCAGATTATGTGCTGCTAATTTTAATAAAAATCTAATATCACTTTTCCCAACCAGGGGAATCACAACCCTTTGCACTTAAACCCACTTTACATCGCAATCAAAATCGACTCTAAAAATATAATTGAATAAGAGTAACCCAGTTGTACCATACGAACATAGATCGTTAGAACTAACTGTCGAGTCAATAATCTAATTTGTAATTGTTCCTTGACCCCAATAGTCAATGACTCTCTGTACGTCTGTATAGACCAGTACTGTCATATGTATTGCTCTATACCTCGGTAGGGTTGATAACGTATCTTCGCGCTCGTTTTTAGGGTGGGTAGAATAGTTAGATAATACACAATTAGTTGACTAATAAGGTACTAAGGAGGTCGTATAAAAATGTGAGTGACTTTCGACCTCTCATATTTTAAGTTTTTTTTAGTAGTCTGGTACTGTTTGGTCTTCGAGACTATGAAATTCTGTCGTTGTTATGTCTAGTTACAGTTTAACTGATTCAGAAATTGAACAGAAATGTGGGAGAGCCATGCTTCGGCATGAATGGGCCGGCTCGACCGGAGTGTATCACGGCCTCACAGAAGACGGACGTGAAACAACAATGTGTTGTGTTTCGTCGTACGAGTGAGGTTACCGGACGCCCAATAACCCCCCCCCATCCCTTTCCCCATCCCTGAATCCCCAACAATCCTCTAATTCGTAATTTCAAAAGGCCGGTAGCGCACTTGTAACGCCTCTGGTGTTCCAGGTGTCCATGGGCGACGCCGATTGCTTACCATCAGGTGATCCGTCTGCTCGTTTACCGACTTATACTATAAAAAAAACTGGAGGTTCTTGCTTAGTTAGCAGTTTCATTTGTAAATCATTCAGTCAACAAAACTGTCAATTTAACGAATAAATAAAGAATACGTAACGTCGAGTGGTCGTAAGTTCGTCTACTGACAAAGCGGTCCCGTATTCGATTCCTGGGTTGGTCAAAGTTTACACTTTTCAAAGTGTACCTTGGGTTTTCAAACTTACCTCAGTGATCACACAAAGTCTGTGATTGTAGCCTAATGGCAATAGGCTCACCCCCTGTTGTACGGGACTCATAACATAGATATAAGTAGATTTTACATTGTACACGTGCATTTATACCGTAATCCTATATAACATCACGCCTTTTATCCCCGAAGGGGAAGGCAAAGGCGCACATTACATCACTTAATGTCACTGTACAATGTAACACCCACTTTAAAGTCCCATGTAATATTGGGTGAACAATTGCCATATACCGGGCACAATTCAAGACTTCGTGCTACTATTGGGTTTTTTTTAAATTTGGGATTTAACCCCTCGAGCGTCCTTATGAGCACCCGGTGGATCATAAAAAAATTATCCATGCTGCTTTCTCTTTTATAAAATCTATTATTAATGTTTTGTTTTTATTTTGACTGTATTTTTTATTTCTATCGTAATGATACTTGTTTTCGTGTGCCAATGGCCAAATAAATGCATTTTCTTTCTTTCTTTCTCCAAATGTCACGTGTTGGATCATAAGGAACGCGGACGCTCGACGGGTTAAAAAATAAAAACCCAGTATCTAGACTTTGCCGGGAATCGAAGCCGAAGCCCCTTGTCTGGCAGTCGCACTTGCGACTACTCGGCCAATGCGGCAGTCAACTATAGCTACGATTAAAATGTCTAACCTTATCCAACTCTAACAAAACTTGTCGATACAACTTACAAGTCCAATTACTTTTTTTTTTTAAACTTTAGGTTATCTACTAACCTTTGCACAACGCTGTTAGGTGACTGACAGAAACCTTGACCCAATATGTTAGTTAGGATTCTAATGACCTTCGATCTACTGGTCTTTAGCTATTAAAATAGTCATTATTATTCAATTATATTTCATTATTTTATTGTATTATGGTTTAGTGGTTCGTATTGGTGTTTGGCAAGAGTTCGGATTTGGGTTCGAATCGTTATTTGATGTTCTCTTTATAAAATTATGCATATATTTATTTAATATTCTCTACAAATTACACTTTTAAATACTACTAAAAAAGTATAAAATAATATTAAAAATATAATAAATGGTTAGGGCTTCAGAGACAGAAACCTCCTCACGATACGTGCCGTTTATAGGAGAACTGCCTTCTGTATCAGGCCCTTGATCCATCCACCTAACGCCAATCTCCTGAGATTGATGTCGAGGCTTTTAGGGATTAACCCATTGGCATTATTTTTATTACTGGCACGTTAGTTGAGTGGATATAATGTGTCTCAGGTTCGAATCTTGGCTTGGACTTAGTGTTCTGATTTACACATTCTCTTCATATCCTTTATAACGTCTATCTATCGACTATTTTTCCATCGTTTATCCACCCATATTTCAATTGAGCAGCATTGTTCATACTAAGTTGAATAATAAATAAAAAACCATCAAAGAAATTCTTTATTTTATATTATTCAAGTGCCACAGCCTTGAGAATTTAATTAATTAACACTATTGACCCGCTACCGAGCTATTGTTCTCAATGTGACCCGCCTCTAAACGAATACGACTTTTTTAAGATGCTTACTCAGTTGAATGACTAAAAATAAATATCGTTTTTAGTCATTTTCATCATTTTTACCAGTAAGCGCGATCCGGGAGTCGAATCTATTACTCGTTCCCCAACAGCCACACTGTGACTACATGACATTTGCATGTGATGCCATATGTAGTTCCATCCAAAACGTTTACCCTGCTCTAATTAATGAAAACTAAATTACTTTTTTCAGAACCAAAAAGCCATGCTAGAACGTCTACAACAGTTCCAAGCTAGTAGCCTACCAAACGGGCTCTCGTTCAAAGACGTGCTCGTCCAGTTCGCCAATATGCAGCAGGCCAGTGCAGGCCTCATCCCCAACCGACCACCGGAGACCATCACCACTAGGCCTGAACATCATATAAGGCCTGAGGGAAGAAGGAGACAGGAGAGAACTCACGAAGATGTTCACGTATCTGTCAAGCAACAGGAGAGACTCGCCTCTCCGAGCCCCAGGCTGCCCCCACCCCCACCATATCCCGAAATTTCCCTACTACCCGTCACCACCAGCCAGGCTGAAACATCACAACAAAACTCCCTACTCCACGGCATCCTCACGAAGGTAACTACAACTATTCAACCATCACTTTATGGCTTGTAGAAATACTCATATCCCAGCTTCCATTAATATTATATTTTTTTTGTATATGGCAATAATGCTTGCAAATTAGCTTGAAATGAGTGTTGCCAACCTTCCAGCAGTCGTCTCCTGCGTCTCACAGTTACTCCCCGACGTTGGCTAAACTGCTCATGTCGCCGGAACGGATACAGAGTGCGCCAACGTTACCAAGTTTCGGTCAGGCCAAGGTACCACTAATGTACGAAATTATAACAATTGGTGTGCTGATTGGCCTTGATCATTCAAAATTCAAAATTTAGTTTTAAGTTATGTTATGGCTTTAAAAAGTTGGAGCTCTTGCGATTAGGGTTTCGACACGTTGGGTTTGCCTCTAGACCAGCCTCGACCCCGCATAGTAGATTGGAACCTTTAGCGGATCTGTTGGACGTTGATGTATGAATGACCACGTGCCCTATGCACGGCCTCAACATCCAAAATGTGTCAAAACCTTAAGAACTTATACTTAATCTATTAAGGGCAACTTTAAACTATAAACAGAGGTCAACATATATCATTGTTATATTCATTTTATGCAAACAAAGGAAATTGCACTTAATATGTTACAGAATAAAGCTTCAACTTTTTAATATACAGATTATTTGATTTGATTTTTGAGAGACTGGCAATGCTCATTGAATAATGCCACCTCATGATCATAAATCATAATATCTAAAGAACATTAATGAGCAACAAGTATTTATTGAAAATCCTAATATATCCTGTAGGCAAATATATTTTGGACCCGTATTTATAGTTTTTGAAAGTGATCATGTATATTTAATATCAGAAATATTTATAGTATTTATCTACATAATATATTGGTTTTATTATACATTTTTATGGCGCCTTATAAAAGAAAAATTGGCATTTTTGAGATAGTGATAGATCAACATTTTAATATGTTCCTAAAATAATTGCACATAAGGTTGTATGTTGACTGGCTCAATTGAATTTCAATACAGTACAGTCTCATTGATCAACTTCTTTCGTTTAACTAAAACAGTGCGTAGTCTCATAAGTCGGGTAGCGACGGTTTAATTGGCTAACAAAACTGCTTGCACCTGGCACTTATAGGCAACTACAAAAATATGATAGAATTGAGAAATCAAGAATATATAATTTCCTACCGGGGATAGTAGCTTTAAATCCAAATTATGAGACACAATAGAAAATATACTGTCTCATACTGCGCTGTAGCAAACGGTTAATCGGAATCTGATCATGATAGTGTCAACCCTTGTCTATTGGTATAAGGGTGCAAAATATTAGTTTGGATGTTAAATTTCTTGGAATACTATTTAAACCTATCGATAATGAAATACAAATTGAACAAATTAATTGGAAAAAATTATACATATCTTATTTATAAGTACACATAATTATTATAATACTAGTTATAAATCAAATTATCTATTCTGTGCTTATAACATTGTCATTGAACAATATGGCTGACCTGTGTGTTGGGTTGTGTTGTAGAACTGTGGAGAGATCACGATAACTCCGGTGCAGCCCGCTCCGACGGCTGAACCGCAGCCTGAGAAGCCAGAGGAAGTCGTCCAGCTCGTAAGTAGAGACTTGATGTATACTTAGTAATATTTAGGCCTTCAGTAGCACAGAATACAAGCAATTGATTAATAAAAATAGTGCTTAGCTTGTCTATTCACTATTACGTAAAATCTACAGCATTTGGTTATACAAAAGTAGCCTCTAAACATCTGAAATAAGGTCTTTAAACTGTCAAACACCAAGCGGTCACCGGTGACCGCGACCTATTGTTCTTTAATTGTGTCTATAAAACCGGTACTCGACGAGTTAATGGCTCTTCACTCGGCAGTCATCAACACAAACAAAGTTATTTTCATGCTACATCATAAAATTTTGATGCAAATTAGAATGGTTTTAATAATAAATAAGTATTGAGATGGTACCCACCATTTATCGACGAACACCTTGACTAGAGGCACCTCCCATTTCAAACACAGAAATGCTAAAACATAGGGTTGTCAACGGTTGAAGAATCTGCTTGTTTCAATAAAATATTTCTCTCATTTCCAGGACGATGAAGAAAGCCCGGCTTCAGAAGGCGAGGCATCGGGCTCTCCATCCGGTTCAGGTTCAGGACGCCTTGTAATAGACGAGGGCGGTGGCGAAGCCCCGACCGAAAGTGCGGCAGACCAAGCGGACACGAACGAAGACACACCCCTGTGTCAGGGCTGTCGACGGAGAGACGCGCAGTTTGTTTGTGCTGGCTGTGCTAACCAGTGGTACTGTAGTAGGGATTGCCAGGTGAGATTGCGTGAAGTCATATTTATTAAATTAGTTTTTATATAATTATCGTGAGACATACTAAATTAACCAAAAATCGCGGGTTACTCGTGTGAATATACTGAGAAAACTATGCTAGCACCACGCACGCTGCTCATGAGGAAGAGCCCCTCTGTGGCACGAAACTAGTAGAGCTTTTCTCTATATTCACGAGAGTAACTCGCGGTTTTTATTTAGTTAATGTATTTAGTTCGCTTATATTTAAGTTCTGTATTTGGTTATAGTCGTTACTGACACCTAAAGGATATAATGGTTCTTTATAAATGAAATGAAACTTTATTTGTGATACATACGTACATTTGGTTGGTCATTTTTAGATTAAAGTGCGCTATGATCAGCCTATTTTAGGCTTACAAATACTCGTATAAGAGTTCAAATCAGTAAGTCGATTAATTAGTTAGATAAGTAAATATGAATTTGTCATGTTTTAATAAATTATATGTCAATAGTGTTCGTCAAAAAGTCAGATGAGGAAGACTACTTAATGCTTAATAAATTATAATAAATTGATGTCAATAAGTAGATAATTAATAGATTATTGTAGTCAATACATTATAGCTAAACATAAGTCAACAAATAAGCAAAATCAAAATTTATCCATTAAAAAATCTAAGACACTATAATAACATTTTTGACACAGTAATTGTTTTAAAGATTTTTTAAAATAATTAACATTAGCTTGTTTTAGCTCTTTTGGTAATTTATTATAGATAGCTGGAGCCATACGAAAGATACTTTTATGCATTAATGCGGTATTCGTTCTGGGTATACACAGACGACTTTCATCCCTTTGTGGCCGATTATAAGCTTCAGATAATAAAATAAAGCGTTGAGGATTTTGCTTTACAAACACCGCGGTTTCATAAATGTATAGTGATGGTAAGGTCATAAGATTGTGTCTTTTGAAGAAAGGTACACAGCTGTCAGTGGCCTTCAAACCAAACATAGCCCGGACGCACCTAAAGTAATCTTTATTACATAAAAACACTTATATGAGTGTTTGAGACAGTAGATCCAGAAGAATAAGATATAATTAACGTATTATTAAGAGAATGAACTGCCTTGAAAATGATATTTTTTGTTAGCATTAGGACAAAAAGCTCCAGTGGCGACATCTGACAATAGCAAAAACTTCGTTTAACATGTAACTAATTTCTTCCGTCCACAGGTCGCAGCATGGGACGAGCACTCAGATATGTGCTCCGGATAGCCGCCTAAAGTATGACGGAAGCCGCGTTAGTAAGTATATTGTAGTTATATACAGAGTGACTGTCTACGCACCGAGTATATACATATATACATGATACATGTATTGTACAGTAACGGCGCTTGCGAGTCTCAAATTTAAATAGACATTTGCCTTAATTCGAATAGTGCATATATTATGTGAATCTCTATTTATCGTGTGGTGATATGGTTCTGGTGCGATCATTTCATTCTAATATTCTTTGAAGTTTGTTTTGTTCCAAAATGTTGTTATTAAAAATTAATAGCTGCATGCACATTATTAGAAATATATTTCTTTATTGAAAGATAAAAGAGTTAAAAATAAGCTATTATTTTGACGTTACTTTGTTACATTCGTAGAAGTGATGTCACTAGACCTTTGAAATCAATGTTTATAAAGGGATACAATTGATTTACTTACACAAACATTCTTTGCACATGATTATATTGTATTTTAATTGTTGGAAATGATTAATATATGAATGAGGAATCGGTCGCACCAAAACCGTAGAAAGTTCCCTAAAATTATATTAAGTTCGATGCTCACGTCTTGATAGGACGGTAAAGCATCGCATGTAAAAATATACAATCCTTTATTCACTTAATATTGTAATGCAGTTGTTGAGTAATGGTTTATTGTGAAGCGAAATAGCTACGATTTTGTCTAAAATGATAACCTAACCGAAGGCAAAAATTCTTTCGACTTTCAACCTTATGTCGTCATAGTAATCTCATTATCATTCTCAGGCCACCTTTGGAGGAAGCATTATTGATTTCGATTATCATTATTCATAAAGTATTGTGTTATAGAATTCCCAAGAATTTGGTAAATAAATATAGTCGTCTGTGAAACAAAGGTGGCACCAAGATACCATTGAACAACATAATGGTCCTATCTTTTATACCATGTGTTAAGGCAACGGTGAAGAGTTTAGGTGGTATGGTATCTTCCTATTGCACTTTTTCTGTAATTAATAACCGGTCTTAACCTTAAGCCCCCTTACGAACTAGCGGTCAACCGCGCGGCTTGTCGCTCCCTGCGGTTGACCGCCTTTCCAATTTAATATACAACCGCTATGGTAACCGCGTCTGTCGATACGAACCGCCTAGGCTGTCAACCGCTAGTGCGTAAGAGGCTTTAGTCTCTGGATCGATATTTGTTTTAGACAGAAACTGTCAAAAATTGACCTTATTCCACGGATTTTGGTTTGAAATCAGTTATTAATTTAATTTCACCCGTAAGTGATAGTCAGATTAGTGATCATGCACTGTGACCTGCATCGTAGCCACATTTCACTACATAGTATAAAACAAAGTCACTATCCGCCGTCTGTCTGTCCCTTTGTATGGTTACATCTTTAAAACTACGCAACGGATTTTGATGCGGTTTTTTTAATAGATAAAGTGATTCTTAAGGACGGTTTATATGTATAATACATGCATATTGCATTTGCGAAGCCGGGGCGGGTCGCTAGTTACAAATAAAACATTACTCAACAATATCGTTTCCTAAAAATATTCCTAGTAGAAAACCCGTATTAGCTGTGTCATAAGCCTAAATATTTGTTTGATACACGTAGTTATAGTATTAGATTTACATATTTATAATTTCAATCACTAGAAATTATTATTCCTATTTTTTTGGGAGTACTAAATGGCTTCGGTAGGAAATGTACACAAAAATTTAACAGTTGTGACGTCATCTGACAGGCCGCCATTTTGAATTAAATGTTACCAATTTATAAAATTAGTGATTGATTTAAATTAGTAATATTTGGCGGAGTGCTGTATGATTTTCTTTTTTTTTATTAAGGCGGCTATTGTCAAATGAGGTTTTAATATTTTTCCTACTGGTGGTATGACCACTACATTGTGCATATAAGGTTCAATGTTATATGCATTATCATTAGTTCCTAGAAGCATAAGGAAAGCAATGAAAAATAAATCTTTTTGCGTACGAAATACGTACCATAATATTATAGTAACAAGACTTGACTCGCACGTTTGTGTGAAAAAATGAGCATAATAGCACTAAATAATTGACTGACTTTATTACTGACTGACTTAAGTCAAACATAAAATCAACATTATCAAGGAAATCATTTACAAATTATTTTATTTTACAAATCGACATTTTGTTCTATAATATGTTTTTATACATATTTCGTACATATAAGTGAATTTCTGCTATATTTTGTTGTTCAAAATTTAAAATATCATGCTTTACAATATGACTTTTGTCAAATTGGACAAAAATTTTCCTCAATAATTACTGATAACAAATAAATCTTGTATATACTTTAACTTAAAGGACTATACTAAGAATATCTCACTATCATTTTCACAGCCACTGAAGTACCCCCAGTTCCCCAAAAATTAGGCCATTCCTTAAAACGCTATGTATAGATACAACTAGTTGTATACATTATTTATGATATTGTATGTGCGTTCTGAATTATGCCTTATCTTCATAGAAATAAAGGATGAACTGTATTTTTTTCGTTCATTCTTTGTCACTTAAAATTACTTCATAAGTCTTCGGACATGTTCGGCTATCAACGATCTCTCGACCAATCAGGGTCGTTTATCCTTTCGCGGTATAATTCAGAACTCCGTGTGCCTGAAGTGTGTATAATATAAAATATAAAAACAAGTATAAGTTAGCTACTAGTTCATAAGTTTAATAATGTGAAAAAATATGATTCTTTTTCAAATCAGACATAGGAAATCAAATTATTTTGTAATAATTACCTATTTGGCTGTGTGGAATAGATTTTTTGAAATAGACATCCTATTTATTATAGGAATTTGGATTCGATTCAGTTGCTTCACGATTTTTAGATTGTTACCATCGACAAAGGCTATATTAGCGTTTAATATTATCTATATATCATCGAAGTTACTGAATCTAATTAAAGTTCAAATTATTTAATCATGTGCACAACTTTTTCGTTGGTTTGTTAGGACTACTTTTTGTATCATTCAAACCGGCCGTCTATTCTCAGAGATTACTGCACACAGCCAAATATCATAGCAATCGGATCATAAATAAATAATAAGGATTATTTTCTACAATAATGAACATTAATCGAGTATTATATTGTAATATAAAGATGCGTTCTAATTTTCTACACTATGTGCAGTGCCAAACCTTTTGAAGTTCCTAATGTATGTCGACCACGACTGGACAGCACTTGAGGAGGTGTCTTAATGACACACTGGCTTGCTTTTCGTGCCTTGCTGTATATTTTATGTCATTAAGGGGATAAAGAGTAAATGTTGGTAGTGCTCAAAAAGCCTTAATTTTAAATAAAATATTCACAAATAATTTTAAGTCAAAAAATTCGCATTTTTATTATGCCCGGTCTGTGTTGACTACATTATCGACTTTAACGATTTATTATTATAGTTTATTTTCAATCAACCAGTCGAATTTTGTGTTTGTCTCAAATTGGAGACGTTATCCTTTTATGGGTATTTTTTTTAGTTTGCCGAATTATATTTTCACAAATATGGGGCATCTAGTGTTTTGAAAATAGTTCCGACTGTGGTGTTAACATATTTAAATGTAACGAAACATTATCTGAATACGTTTGAGTATTCATATAAAAAAGCTATAATTATACAACTTTGTATTCATTATTTTGATCAAATGTATGTTGGTTGTTAAGGTTAGCGCAGATAGCGTATAACATAATTAAGGTACAGTATGTATGTATTATTGAATCTAAAATATATATTAATAAATATCGGCTATCTGCGATTGCCTTAAACCAGTGTAAATAGTTACTTGCGTGGTCGAAAATCTGCTAAAGTAGAATATTCGATGAGTATAGACGTAGCAAGATGAAAGGGAAATAAATAATAATTTTGTTTGTACGTTTTCTATATTGTTTTTATAAAGTCGCAAAAAATGTAACGAAGGATCTGTGTTTTATAAAAGAAATATATGGGTAGGGTTTAAAAAAAGGAATAAGGGCTACTAACTTTAAAACGTGTCATTGATTTGGTATCTAATCTTACTAATAGAAACGTTAAATGAATTATGCATGCCACTTTAACCTTTTAAATATTCATAGTTACGGAACACAGAAAATACTGGAAATGCAGTTTATATTTAAATGATAGAAAAACGGTTTTCATGAACCATTATGTTATCTGTATTTATACAGAGTGGAAACGGAAGGCTACCGAAAGACAAAAATTGTTTCCATATTATTCATGCTACATCTGCCTTGAGCAGTTTATAACAATTCACAATTATTATTACATAAAAGAGACATTTAAACTGTCAAACACCAAGCGGTCACCGGTGACCGCGACCTATTGTTCTTTAATTGTGTCTATAAAACCGGTACTCGACGAGTTAATTCCTTTTTTTTTTTAAATAATTATCGTTTTTTAACATTACAATTCTTTGTTTTTTTGGAGCGTTCCAATTATACCTGTTATATCTTTATATATATAATTCTTCTGTGAGTGTGTATGTCACTGAACTTCTCTCAAACGACTGGACCGATTTTGATGAAATTTTTTGTGTATGTTCAAGGGGATCTGGGAATGGTTTAGATTCACAAATCAGCCCGGCAGATGGCGCTGCAGTCGATGTTTAGGTTATTTATCATAAACAGCTGAACTAATTTGAATGAATTTTTGTTTATACATTTAAGTGGATATGCAGGACAACGTCTGTTGGGTCCGCTAGTAAATTATATAAAAATCTTCCTTAGACAAAATGCTACGTCTATGCTCTCAAATACAAGTTAAGTTATGCATCTGGTCGCTAGGTACGCCACAGTGTCACATAATGTCTTCACATCGACTCGTTCGCTCGTGTCCGCAACGCTAGTCACGTTTTTTGTTACCTATATAACTGTTTATGTATTTTGTAACTTATGTGTTATATAAGAATAAATCACTACTGTATTTGAAATGCTTTGTTTTATTCCTTTATTTGCACCGTTACATTATCCTACATACATGTACACCAGAGGCGTTAGATACAAGTGCGTCACCGGCTTTTTGGGGATTAGGAGTTTGAGGATCGTTGGGGATTCAGGGATTGGGGAGATTGGGGAAGGGGTAATTGGGCCTCCAGTAACCGCACTAACACGACAAAACACAACGCAAGCGTTGCTTCACGTCGGTTTTCTGTGAGGCCGTGGTATCACTCCATTCGAGCCGGCCCATTCGTGCCGAAGCATGGCTCTCCCACACTTAAATACCTCTGATGTTGCAATAGCAAGTCTGTAAGTATTTAAGTTACGGTGACTGCTACCAATAGTAGATAGGTAGTATAAGAGAAAATTGGATGCAAGAGCGGGTCAGTCTGAAAAGTACGTAGATGACTAGATATTGAAAAACAATAAATTGTCTATCTGACAGATCACAGGGCATTTTATTTTATTGTTACATTTAGAAAACTTCAGGTAAAATTAACAATAATTATATTATATAGCTATGAATAAACACCAATTATGTGCAAGTTTTCACATATATTTAGGTAGTTAAAGAGGGTGATGTGTAATAACTTTTTCACACATCGTAACTACTCGGTGGGGTTGGAGCATTTGGAGTGCCTGTGCTTCCTTAGTTAATCAAAAAAATGATCCTTTTGTTTATGCTTCTGTTGTTTGTTTTTTTTCTCATTTTATTATACCTAGATGTAATTGTTACTGCTTCTAATTATTATTTTTTTCGTATTGCGTACTGGTATACCGAACATAGAATAAGTTACTGTCAGCAAATCATATTTAATTTCGTCACACTAGTGATAAAGAGATCAATGTCGACCTCC